ATGTTTAAACAATTTCAAAAGAGGGCTTGTTCTACACCCATCAATATAAGGAGCAGGAATAATGTATTACTTTGAAACATTACCAACAATGTTAAATAAATCCAAGAACTGTTATCTGATAGGAGTTGCTTTCTGGTGCTTTTATGGAACCATGCTGATTTCTTCCCATCCTCTTTGGGTTTTACTTTTATCAACAGAGGGAAGTGGGGAGAGAGGAAGATGGCCATTCTAAAGGTTTAATTTAAAATTTGTCATCCCCAACCATGCACGTTGAAAGAGATACCTCTTCCAGTGTGGTATGATGTTATATTCATATTCTTCCCTTTTATGCCAGAACTCAAGTTATAGCTGAGAAAGAATCCGTATAAATCTAACTACACAACCCATTACTCACTGGGGGTAATTCAAAGATATTTCCTTACCTAAACAGAGAAACAGAATGATCTCTGGCAAACAAAAAAAGCAGTGGAGAAGGAAAAAAATTGTGACTTCTTGCTGGCTTCTCTATTGACTTTTCTTGTATGAAGATCACAGGGAGCACTGGAAATGATTACGCTGAAGCAGCCACAACTTGCCCAAATTTCAGTTTCAGAGGTTTCAGATTTTTTTATTGGTTTTTTAATTCTTAAGAAAAGGTACTCAGGACACACCGTGGTGTTTGGGTAATCAAACATTCATAAGTAAAAACATATATAAACAACTCAACTCAATACATTCACTGTCCCCTCTCTATTTCCCTCAAATAGCATAATACGTTTAAAATATTCCATTTCTAATTTAAATTTCTATTGCTGCTAAACCTATTTTAAAATTTTATCAGTTTACAATTACCATAATCAAATTTAACTTTAAATCAACAAGTTATCAATTCAGGTATCCCTTCCAGATATATTCTAATTCTTAATCACTCACATCCCTCATTTTATCACCAATCTCATTTATTTCTTCTTCAACTACACAATAGATATCACAATTAAAATAAAATATTAATCTACCCTATATATATATAATCCCACAGTCGATCAATCTCTTTAGGATAACAAAATAATGTTAAACCTTAATTCATTTCAATTCATTAAACAAAATTCAAATTTCATCCAATTGATTATCATGCCTTATCACATCTATGTTATCATACAAAAAGGCCATCTTACTAATTTAAAACACTCCATTAATTATTGGAACCATCCAAATCTAAAAAGTTAACATTTTTTCAATTCTAATACATAATAATTTTCATCAAAATAAATCTATTATTCCAAAAGATACATTCTTTTTTTATTATTTAAAAGTTTTATAAATTTATTACAATATAAACCCCCCACACCCCTTCCCCCCTCCCCCACTTCCCACAGCTGATTACAGGATAAAAAATAAAATAAACAAACATAATCTAACTAACATTAATCAACTATACTATCAATCAAAACCATAACACACTTTAACTCCTTCTCCCAACAAATATTAACAAATTAAGTCAAAAATAGTAAAATAATTAAAACTAATAATTATCTAGAATCTACTCAAAAGCAAGATAATACTTTTCAATCTCATATTTCTTCTGAATATAATCAATCCATCTTCTCCGCCAAAAGATGCATTCTTAATCTATTTAAAATATCTATTCTAATAATCACCCTCCTATATATTTTTTTTCTTGCTTCTAACTCTAAATCTTAATCCTTAAAACAGTCCAAAATTCCAACATTGCTTTTTAATCCATTACACAATTTTAAATTTCTCTTTTCAGTCTGATTTTGGCTTTTTTTCTGTGCCAGGCAGGTTTCCATAAGCACGCTTCCCTTTCAGCCAGTAGATCTATTTTTGTTGCTTGCAGTGGCCTTTGAAAGGATAGGAATCCCATCCTCTGCATTAGGCATCTATTCCTCTCCTCCTTAAAGCATCGTTGCTTTGTAGTTTCAAATCTCAGTCTTTGCTTCTTCTGTTCCTCAAAGTTACAGATGGAAAGTTTATAAGATAGAATAAGTTCCTCTTTTATCTCTGTTGATTCCTCTTCTAGTATGTTTTGATTTATAAAATAGTCAGATGTAGTCTGGACATCCGTTTGAATGTTTGAAGTGAGATTTCTGGATCTTAATTCTGTAGTAAACTCTTTCATTGTAGCACATATTTCTGCAGTAGCCTCATAAATCTTTTCCAATATAAGTTTAGTTTAATTGTAACTGAGGTTCCTCCATTTTAATAGTGATTTAAAAAAGTCTCTTTTTTCTTTTTTGTGGAGGCTATATTTGATAAAAATTAGGCAATATCCACCCCCACAATTACCACAGCTGCACAGCTTATTTTTTCTCTTCAAAAATAATTTGAAGGTCAGGTCTATTCCATCTTCAAAGGGTAACCAGAAGTTGCAATATTACATTTTCTCCACTAGATGTCCTCAGTAGGTTAAAAAAAGATCTTTTCCAGACACCATTTCCTTTTTTCTCTTTTAAAGTATAATGTGAAAAAAGAAATAATCTTCCAACGTAAGATGATAGTACAGTTCTTAAAAAAAGAAAGAAAAATTTTTCTGTACCCCAAAAAATATGGAAATAAAATATAATCTTTAAAATTTGTTCTATTTTTATACAACGCCTTTCTTCCCAAACATGTAGAAGCTGCTTTTTCAAGCCAGGGAAATAATTCCAACAAGGCTCTTACAGGTACAAAAAACAAAATAGAATAGAGAGAGTAGCAAGGAAAAGTCTCACCTGGATTCACCACGGGGTTTCTTACAGTTTAGATGTTCTTTGACTTGCGGTTTGAAGTGGCAGGGTGATCGGCCATTTTACTGGCCGATTTTCTTCTCTGTCAGCCCTCAGAGATAGCTCGGACAGCTGGAGACGCCACTGCTCCTCCACAGCCAAGCAAAGCCTCGAAAGAAGTCGCACCCTCCAGCGTGACATTTGACCCACATAAGGGTCTACCGGCGGAGGGAAGGCTAGCCGATGAGGAGACAAGTCTCCCCATACGACTAGGGACACTGTGAACCAGAACCGGAAGTCAGAGGTTTCAGATTTTGAAGGCATTATGTAAGTTAGCACATTTGAGGTACGATGATTCAAAAACTGTTTAAATCCCACTATTTAAGGTATTCCAGATATAAGTTGATCTAATGGCTAGGTGGCTGAGCTAGGTTTAGAAAGACTACAGCCATAGAAAGTATCTAGGTCCGTGGTGGCAAACCTATGGCATGCGTGCCACAGGTGGCACACAGAGCCCTCTCTGTGGGCATGTGCATCGTCACCCCAGTCCTAGGCCTTCAGCTGGGTTTTATAAAACCTTTTCGCTTTAGGCCTCCGCCATCGTGTGCAAAAAAAAAAAAGGTTCAATCAATTTCAACTTCTTGCGGGAAAAAAAAAGATCTCGCAAAGTTGGAATTGATTGAACTTTTTAGTCTGCCGTTACCACTGAAGCCACGCCCACCCAATGGGCCATGCCCACCCAATGGGCCACGCCCATCCAGTACCCAATGATACATAAGTGGGTTTTGGGTTGCAATTTGGGTACTCGGTCTCTAAAAGGTTTGCCATCACTGATCTAGGTGATACTTTAGCCCTACTTAATGTTGTGAGCTAAAATAAAGGAAAATTCTCTTCTATGTTGCTTGAGTTCCTGAATAAAAGGTGGGAAACAAATCTGACATATAAGTGAATATAAATCATTTATGAACTGGCTTCAAATACCAAGAAATCAAAGGATGTGCACGCATCCATGAAGTACAATAAAGCATAAACAAACATGCAAACCAAGAAATAATGGAGTGGGACTTGTTTTGATTCAATCCTTCTTGCAAGGTAGCTTTTGATTATAAAATAATTAACATAAATTATCCATTTCATTATATTCTCTGTTGTTAAAATGCCCTAAGCCATAGCAGAAGATACTACTTTGCTGCAATGTCTGGAAGGAAGGAGGGAGGTAGGAATTGGGCTTGAAATGCAGTGAACTCTTGCAGTGTTCATCCTTTGAGATCAGCTCTAATTCAGATTTAATTTCTCCACAAATTTACAGGAAGTTATTCACTGCATTTAAGTATTTAGTATTATGCTTTCTATGCAATATTCTGCTAATAACAATCCAGAAATTATGCAAAAAAAACCACCCCAGGTTCATTAGTAGGTTCAGAGAGGCATACCCCCAAAGTTAGGATTCATAGGATTACTGTATAATAGTTAGGTGAACTGATCCAATTCATGGTTCCATTAATTCCACCAGATGTCTTCAAAAGTCTTCTAGACTATGGTAGAGAGGCCTGCCCCCCCCTCCCAATTCCTCCAAATCTGCTGTGGAGGGAAATATCCCTACACTTTTATATCTATTCCCTATATGAACTTAAAACCTTATGTTTCCTGTTTGGTATAAAAATATGATAATATTACAATTATAGCTGCCTATTCAACATTGTGCAAAAGGATTTCTGCTCATGCAATAGGATTTGTATTATCCTCCACACACTGTATTGTTGCTTAAGTACTCTAAATCATCAATTAATTGGGAAAATAAAAAGAAGGCTCTATTCCCATCTTACGCTACTAAATACCAAAGATCAATTTTTTTTCACTCTCAACGGCTTTAAAACTGTAATTCTATTTCTGTATCTCCTATATTTTTGTCTGGCACTCATCTTCAAGACTGTTTGACCAAACACTATCAGATCTGCTGATGACTTTAAATTTACTTTCTTTGAATGGTTCAACTTATATAAAATAGACTGTATCATCGTTCCACATTTGGCTAAGGGTAGACAAACTTTTACAGCCATCTGTTTATGAATTATGTCTACCATGATGATGGATGATACAACTGATATAGTTGGTGCAGGCTGTGTATTTGTGGATCCCTGCCGTTAAGAAACTTTCCCTGTAATCTTCAATTCTGTCCTTTGTTCTGGAAACATGTACTAAGTTTTTTAAGTCATTCTAACTCATACACAGGAGAAGTCTTTTCCAGAAAAAAAAAATGTTTTCTTATTGGCCAACATAATAAAAATACAGACAATAGCTCCATTGTTTTAATTGCAGCTGGTCAATTTACACAAAAGCTATTGCTAAAATAGTTGTTGATTCACTGGTCTGAGATTTTGCTTTAGGGTAATCTACTGGATTGTCTGTTTATAATTGTTTATAACTGATATTTTAAATTTGTAACTGGATTTGTATTTTACATTCTAATGTTCTGCAAAAAGATGTACCTCAATATTATCAGCGCTTTTATTCTGGAAAATTGCAAAGGCTTTTAGCTAAGCACTAGTAACTATTCATTTACTACCATATAACCAATTTAAATGTTCATACAAAACTTTGGTACAGAAACTTCCAATTATCCAGAACATGCACCATTCAATTTTGCCATCTGATTTACAGCCACACAGTGGCTCAAATCCCACCACAAAAAGATGATTCAGAGATTGCAACAGCACTTTTCAAAATGTGAAAATGGCAACTCCTTTTCAGTGTAAAACTTTTATAAATAAATATACACACAACCTATATGTATCCTCTCAAATCTGAAGAAACTGTGTATCTTCCCTCAGAAAATGTTTGTTATTATTTTTCATTTTTTCATAATCTATACATCTGCTCAAAATAAGCCTTACAAAGTACTCCTGAGTCCCTGCTGATTAAAAATCATTCAAAAACTCTCATCCTTCAATTCACATCCATAGAACAGAAGTTTTACTGTAGTACACGGCATTATTGACAGGATATTAAAGTTCTACAACTAGTTTACATTTTGTTTTCACTTTAAATTCTGATTTAGTGAGAGTACAAATTATAATGATCAGTTTTCTGTGGCTACATACAAGGAAGTCTCATGTGGGGGATTTTTCAGTGGAAGTTCCCAGCTAACATCAATCATTAGCTGAACAAGATAGAACTGTACTTCTAAGTTCCTGTTGAGAAAACTTTCTGATAGCAAAATAGGCATGAAAGCAGACTAAAAAAGGTGTGTTTCCAAATGATTTGAATATTCTGGAAAGCAAAGACTACTTTGCTAAGATAGAAGGTATGTACTCTGCATCAAATCCATGTATTAAAAAAGGGTGTAGATTTTACAATTCATTTTATAATTAGGGCCTACCTCCTATATGTGCTTTGGTGTAAATAATTACAGTTGGCTATCTGAGATTCTTCTGTTCTTTTGCAATTTTATAAGCAATTAAAATATTAATTCTGCAATTGGAATTAAAAACCTGGGACTATTCTTCCACAAAATCCCCCCAAATAAAACATCATGACTTGTTAAAACAAATCGGAATGCTGAAATTAATAGTTGTAATTCTGTTCATGAAGATACCAATTCCGTCTCCTATCTATCAATCTATCTACCTATCTTTCTATCTACCTATTTTCTATCTGGGATAGGCAGATATGGATATATGATGGTATTACAGATATCACCTCAACTTTAAGCTGTTCCCAGTAAAGCTGCATGATGATGATGATATGATAATGATGATTCTATTATCATGCTGGGGACAACTGTGTGTAAATATTTTGTAATGGTGACTTAGTTTTATCTGTAAGGAAACTATATTTCTATGTGGACAACATCAGTATAAATGCAATAGGCCCCAGCCTATTAAAGTGGAACATTTCTTATGCTACTCAAATTTGTTTCCTTAGAAAACTTCCCAGTATTAAATTCTGCCTGATACTAAATTATTCCCAAGTAAAGATTTACCCTAGCTGTCACCCAAGGAAAATCGTCTTTTTATTTTGCTACATGAATAACAAGATGGACATGGGCAGGAACAGATAAAAAAAATTAACCCACATTCACCCCTAATCTTAACTTGGGAATTATGCTTCCCTGAACAGAAGAATGTACCTCTGAGTAGCCCTAACAAACTATAGTAACAGGAGTGCCATCCACAATCAGGGAAGTTCTGTCAAAACAGGCAACCAGTTTTTTAAAAATGCATTTTAAATATTGTTACCTTTTGTGCAATGATTTTTCTGTTATTGAAGAAAATCTTAAGAACCATGATTAAGCACATCAAAATAATGCAAGAATAATAAAACAATGGCTGTTAACTAGTTCAGCTATGCCATCATGAGCTCTCAAATGCTAGGGGTAAATAAACAGATTTTCATTTCACAGCAATTGCTATTCAACCATAGCAAAGTTGGCATGTGCTCAATTTCTAAAGCAGAGAGTGTTTCAAAGAAAGAATGATACAATAGAAAAGTTCTTTCATGCTGATATAAGTGAATGTCTAAACCATGTAAAACAACTAGGCTGGCTTTTAATTATTACCAGGGAATATGATTTTTCCATCTCTACAGAATGAGGTCTCCCACCCATTAGTTTGGACAATATCACAAGATTCGCTAATACAATTTTGTGTTTAAGGTAGGGTACCTGCTCATCTAGAAGTATCCCGTGTTGGTAAGGGATAAGAATAAATTCTGGCTTTGAAAGTTCTCTCTCTTTTCTATGTCTAAAAGTGTCTAAATTAAAAGCAGATATGCTGTTCACATAATCTGCTGATCACTTTTTTTCCAAAATGGACCTGTTACATAAATAGAGTTAGTTCATACATTCTAAAATCCTTTTCATTTTTCCAGGGTATACTTTAGTGCCTTTAACATTTGTACCTTGTAATAATATACATAATTATATCAATGCATAATTATACCGGGCATCGCAGTTGTGACAACACACCAAATTGTTTTCCTTTTTTGCAAAATACACATCTACACACATTGATAGAGGATAGAGTTTTTTTCTGGGGTAAAATTCTCTTCCTTGTTAAGAATCTTTCCAAAATCTCTATATGATCTTTTTTGTTCTAATTGCATCAATTATAACCTCCTGTTTTCTTCAGTAAAATAGGTGTAATGGTTTTAGATCACAGAAGAGCAGAATTGTTCCACTTTAGGCCACGCAAGCTCTGCCAATCAAGAAGGGCTTGATTTTCTCAGGATTCTGTTGCAGCAAGCAAAGTAGACTGCAAACATATACGGGAGTTGACCATAGTTTCCCTTTTTTCCAACTGAATCTGTCTGTGATCCATCTGTTTTTTTCCTTCCTGCAAATACAATATTACTAGCTTTACTGGTGATCAGATTCACTTATTTTTTACATATGTCGCAGAAGCCAAATATTTAGCCACTAGTATAATAAAATAAAGCTTTATACAAGGCACTGTTCAAATGTTTAATCTTTATGTTGCAATTAAAGTATAATAAGCCACTATCAGCCACCAAACTAGTTAGTTAATGGGAAATACTGTAAATGTCAATGACTATTTTGTCTCATATGTAAAACTGCATCTGCAAAACCCCACAATCATAGTCAGCCACATCTTAAATCTAGTATGATGTACACCACTATCCCACCCATATGTTTCCGTATATACTTGATATCAATTTATAGTTCAATAGGAGATCCAAACCCAGAAAACTGAGACAAGGCTAGACGTGCAGGCTGCAAATATTCCAACAACTGATCCAAAGTAGTAAAGATAACAGAAATATTTACCCATTTTCTGCTATCTTCTACTATCTGGTGGCCATCCAGATTTTTGTAGTCTATATAGGATAGGCAGAGCAAATAATTGTCAGGGTAAGCAACAACTTCTACATTTGCAAGGTTCTAGATGTCCATTATGGTGAGCACTTCACTGTAGCTTACTTTAGAAATTAATAACTAGGCTACTGCCTGATTTGCAGACTTGATCACTTCCTCCCGCTGCCTTTTGGATATGAACAGGATTAAGCTGTGCTCTTCCCAACCATCATATGATAAAGTGGCCTCAGTTCAACTAAAATGCTGGGCTCTTCCTGAATGCAACAACCGTATTGTATTGTATACAATAACGCCGTAATGCTGTGCTTTCTGTCAGGATGTTTTTCGATTTCTTGGTATAGCCTACGGCCCTAGGGCAAGATTGGAGGATTTCCGGGTGGTCCCCCGACCTTGTATTCTGAGTTTCTCTCATAGGGGAAGCAGAGAAGGCAGCCGCGAGGAGGAGCGCAGGCCCACGATCTTCCTGTTGTCGGCTTCAACCTCTCGCTAGGCGGTGCAGCGACCGGGACTGGGCGCAGCAGCCCAATTCTCCCGGTGGCGTTAGCTGCAGGTGGGCAAGCGGGCAAACCACGGGCGAAGGCTCTGCCTGCTACTTTTTTCCCCTCGCTCTCCGCTCACCCAAGCCTGGACAACCAGCAGCCCTCGTGGCCCTTCCTTTCCCGTCGGGGCGACGTGCGGGAGAAGCTCCCCTGCACCGCGCTGCCCAGCCAGAGGCAAGAAGACGGGTGAGGGAAAGCTGCGAGAACAGCCCATCTGCCCTCTTCCTCCGACTAAGACGGGCAGAAAAAGCCCGTCGGGGAACCAAGAAAGCCCGGAGAGGGCGGCAAGGCCGAGATCAGCTCCCAGCAACCCCCGCCTAGTTAGGCCAGCTGCCGAAAGCTGGCAGGGCTTGACGCAGCGGATCACATGGCGGCGGCGGCTCAGCAGGAAGTTCGCTCTGTTCCTGGGTGGCGCGTCGGAGTTTCGGGCTTGCTCCGAGGCGATCGGAGCGCGTAGCCGATCACGGTGGGGGCTTCGTAAGTTTCTTCTTGCCTTTATAAGTCACCCGCTAAGCGGCCGAGCCCGCAACTTTTCGCCGACGTTTTTAACTGTAATGCTTTGCCTTTTCTGCAAGCCACATTAACACGAAGTTCTTTCCTCTTGGTTCCCCCAAAGTTTCTTTCTCTCACCCCCCCCCCTTGTAGTTTAGCTAGCAATTCTGCTTCCGTTTTTCTTTCCATTTTAAGCCCTGCCTTCTTCTTAGCTTGGATAGTTTCTTCACACAGCACAAACTTTACCTAGCTACATTTTGAAAGCTGCCTTGTAGCTCTAACCGTGCAGTTGTAAACAAGCTTTCTTTCTGGTCCGCTTCCCCTAATCCAGGGGCGAATGCTCTCGATTTGAGGTGTGGGCGAAGAGATGCAGCTTAACCTATGTCTTTTATTTTCCTGGTCCGTTTTGCCATTATTTGCCAGGGCCTTTGGGGTCAGTTAGAAAAACGCCACAAGGGTTGTTAATTTCAGCGCGTCTTGTCATTCATAGATTTTATTACAAAGGCGGAAGCGCCTAAGGAGGAAAACCACTCGGTGGCTCAAGGGAAGAGCCGGCTGGGTGGCTGCTTTGTTTAAAACCAGTTATACCTGGAGCAAAGAGATCGCTTGTTCATTTCCTCTTATAAGTAGCACACAAACATTTGAGTGTCTCGTATCCTCTGAGTGTTTACGAACCAATTGCGGAAGGGCCGAGGATCGGAGAAAACTTCCTGTTCCGGAATCCTTGAACCCAGACCGTGGAAGTTTTTTATTGCGAAACTACACCCCCGAGAAATTCCAATGGGCTAGTATTTGGAAAACCAGTTTGCTCTTTCTTCCTAGGAGGATTGCGAGTGGAATAGAAATCCTGAAGGCTGTGAAGTTCTTCCTCCAGTTTCCCTGAATGAAAAGTTTCTATCTTTGTACTAACAAGAGAGGTGGGAATTTATTTATTTATTTATTTATTTATGAGACTTATATACCGCTTTAAGTGCAAGCACTCTCTAAGCGGTGTTGCCCTACTGAAGCCTTTTGACAATCATCCAATGGACACTATTTCCTGAAAGTAACGAATACATCTAATTAAGTCAGAGTGCTTGTTTAGAGTTAGTGGGGTGTGTGAATCCAGGCATACATTTTGTATACTATTTAGTATGTTATATGATGCAGTCAATTGTGGGTGCTTTTGAGATGCCATAGCTAAACAAATATGCTTCTGTTGAAATCAGTGGAATTATTTTTTAATAATAATAGGCAAGATTTAAACAGCTAGGTTCAAATATCTGTAGTCTTGTATACATTAATTTAAAAGAACGCACCTTTAAAATGATGGGAATCAATTTTAGGTAGATTCATGTGAAGAGCAGGGTAAGATATGCTCTGATCACTTTCTGAATATGATATAAAGAGTAGCTTTCCCCCCTCTCTTTGGATTCAAGAGCATTAGTCTGTTCCTCAAGATGCAAATACTATGCCTTCTACAATCATTGATTTCTGGCGACTGCCTGGGTAAGTCCCTGCAGTTTTCATGGCAAGATTTCAGAAGTGGTTTGGCTTTGCAATTAGGCTGATCACATTTTGGGCACTTGGTAACAGGCTCACTTTTATGCCCTTTTACGTCATCCTTTGGTATTGTGACCATGATTTATGACTTTTTAGCCAGAAGCCGGCATTTATTTCTGGTTTCCAACAAAAAACATCACAGCAAACAATGGATTTGCTTAATAATTACCACATTTACTTAACAACCACTGCAAAAAAAGTAATGAAATTAAGTGCGCTCATGCAGTGACCCACTTAATGAGTATTATGACCTACACCTATGACCATAATTCTAGGTTCAATTATGGTCGTAAATCAAGGACTACCTGTAAAGCCAAGGCTGCAACTTTAGCCTGGCAACTTTAGAAGCTAGGTCTGGGATAGCTGAGTCTATCCATACAAAAGCCACAGGTGGCATGGGCAGAGGAAAGATTGCAACAGATTGTTTGCATTAGATGATATGCAAACCACACCATCTTAACAATAATGATATACATACTGACAGAAACCTAAATTATGTTACTTGAAAAAAGTCCATTTCCCTCTCCAGATCTGGAATTAGAAAAAAAAAAGCTGAAATGTACTGACAGAACTCACATATCATTCTCAGCCATAATCAAGGTTATTTAGTTTCAGCTCAGCATCTTATGTGCTAGTTCAGCCCCATTTTTAAGCAAACTAAACTTTAGGTGATTGTTGAACCCAGCCCAATACAATTTCTCTGCTCCAAAAAATGGTCATTGAAAATATCTGTTTAAACAGTTAAACCACTTAGGCATTTGTCATAATAATGTGGATGTTGAAAACTTCATAGAGGAGGAGTTAAAAATTTCTGTGAGATTTTTATTCTATCACTTTAACTACACTGATGAGTAAGGCATGTATGAGTGTAAAAACCTGCTTGTATTCTGATGCTAGGATTAAATTCTATCAAAACATGTCAGAATTACTTTCAGCAATGAACAAAAGAGAAGGGCTGTAGCTTTCTCTCCTAATTATAATCATTAGTTTTATGCAAAATTAAAGAATTTCAGTTAAGTATAATCATTTAAATATTTTAAAAAATTTATCACACACTATAGGCATGCTAGAAAATAACATTTTAAATAAGGTTTCTATTTCATAATTTTTGAAAGAAAAAGATGGAATATGTTATATGTATGTAGAATAAGCTTTAAACTAATTAATACAATTGTTCCATTTTCCATGGGGTCCTGGGTAGCCTTTAAGATTCTCCCCTCGTATTCCCACAACTATCTTATGAGCATCTTCTTGTGAGCCTGGCTTTAAAATGACATACTTGGCAGTCACATTGCAAAAAATGATGGATAAAATGAAGACTAACTCTGATTTAATTCTCATGTATTTCAATGTCATTATTATCCTTCAATCTCTCAATTAACAATTTCACCCTACAGTCATTTAATTTGATAATTGCTGAGGTTATGTAGCAGTTACAGGTTAGGTTTTAGAAGAGTAACACAACTCTGGGGTTTGAGCTGTGCATCTCTGAGCCAAGAGAGTGATTCAGCTGTGAATTTCATGACTAAATAGAGATCAGAATTAAGCTCCATGTCCAGCACTTGTACACTGTTTACATGTAGATTGACTAGACCAGGAGTAGGCAATTTTGGCTGTTTTATGACTCATGGACTTCAATTCCCAGAATTCCTGTGCCAGCCATGCTGAGGGGAAAGGGAGAGTTTCCAAGCTGAGCCATGTTGGCTCAGGAATTCTGGGAGTTGAAGTCCACGAGTCATAAAAGAGCCAAGGTTGCCTACCCCTGGACTAGACTATTCTTAATAGTGATATTTAATTTGCTTTTTCTACACCTGCCATTCTTCTCCCCATATATCTTTGAATTGGTTTGTTTTTTTCTTCTGCCAGGTTTTGCATCTCAATGAGCTACTTTGATTCTCAGATATTATCTTTCCATTTGGTTCAATGAGCTGGTAAATCCCGTGAAATAGTTCTCCCTATTTTGTCTGCTTTGCTTTGGTGAGTTTTTTGTGTGGTGCATATTCCTTATATCTTAGTGTTCTTTATTATGTATTTTTATCTGTTATTGATTTGAACAAAAAAAAAGCTACTCCTAAGCAGCTCAGGAATAGACTGGACAAATCTTACATTTCTTTTAAAGAAGAAGATACATTTTTCTTTGATGGCCAATGGGGCAAGTTAAAGTTTGGAGCTTCTTTTCTTTAAAAGAATACTCATATTTCAAGGGAAAAAAGGCTGACACCAGCATATTCCAGAATATTCATTTCTCACAAAAAATAACCCTTATGCAAACCCTAACAATTTAGTTAAAACAATTTTAAAACACTGCCAAACTCTCAAGTTAGAATGCAGCACTTTCATTCAATTTCTCTTATTGTTTTAGGAGTCTTGCTTAATAAAATCATGCAGGATTTAGTGAACTTGCAACATTTGGGGCAATTTTCTAGGAATGAGATGACAGGTTGATACTTAACGGTCCAAATATGTTAGAAAGCTCTGAAAGTGTGGAAAAATCCTTTCTCCATATTTCTTTTCCAGATGCTTGAATCTCTAGTTTATGTTGAATTTGATTTTTGTTGCAAACAATGTACCTTTCTTGCAATATAGTGTATCTCAAAAATGATGAGGTTTAAATAAAAAGGGTGTCTGTAAGGATACTCATAAAACTGTCCTATGATATTAGACAATGTGCTAAAAATGTAAATGAAAAGCATTATTTTGCAATGCACCCATATATGTGTCTTATCTGTCTCTTATAACTGAGTGAAGGGGCATATCCTAGGTTTTCAGTAGCTTGTTGTAAGAATTGCTTCTTTTTATTTCTTCAAGACAACTTGCAATAATTTGCTAAGCAGTGCATAGGTATTTTCAAAATAATTGTGAGGCAGCTTCAAAACAGCATTGCATGCATCAATGCAAAGAATAAACCTTGTTTATCAGGAGATTTCCATTTAATACCATACTTTAAGTGGACAGATGTAACCCAAATAACATTTGACTCATGGCGTGAAACATAAAAATCAGCCACTTTTGTTTCTGTTTAAATTAATGTTCATACCTTTGGTGGCACAGCAGTTAGAGTGCAGTACTGCAGGCCACTTTAGCTGACTGTGTTCAGCAGGTCAGCGGTTCAAATCTCACCGGCTCAAGGTTGACTCAGCCTTCCATCCTTCCGAGGTAGGTAAAATGAGGACCCAGATTGTTGGGGGCAATGTAAATATATATATACATTGCTTACTGGTGTACACCGCTTAGAGAGTGCTTGCACTTAAAGCGGTATATAAGTCTCATAAATAAATAAATAAATAAATAAATAAATAAATAAATAAGAATGGGAAAAATGAGGTTAAAAAATGAGAAATGTTTCACTAGAAATGTTTCACTAAATCTAATTTGGATTATTGTTTTGAAGAACTGTCTTCCAGTTCTATTTCTGATGGTCTTACCTATTTAAAAAGCTGCATTGGCACAGTTGTCTAGCATTTCCTTTAATGGAAACTCCAGTGAAACAATAAATTTAGAAAAGAATCCAGTCTTGTTGATGCCATTTCTTTCAGTTATTCTTCAAGAAAATTTCCTGATCGTTCAAGTTAACGCAGCGCAGCTGTAATATTTCTATTGCTCCCATTACCTGAATACTGTATAGCAATAATTTTTCAAGCAATTAGTGATTAAGAGAAACTGGTTTCTGGATCTGGTACATAAGGAGGCTTCCCAGCATCTCCTTTTCAACTTTTCTTTTAATTGTATTGGATAACTGTTTTGGCTGCTTCTGATTTTCCGGCATAATGATTTAACTTTAGATGGAAGTTGAGTCATGGGAACTGGACTTCTGTGCTTTGCTGCTTATCCAAGTAGCTTCTTCAGTCTTGGATTAGATAAGACTAGAATAAGCAGTGAATCGTTTCAAACCAAAAATACATCCAGTTGCCATGACCCAACCTCCAGACAACTCTACCTAGAAGATGACTGAGAATCTTCATTGACTTAATTTTAGATGGTTTTCAAAGCAACATTTCTCAACTGGGTACCCTCCAGAGGGATGGGACTTTGACTTTTGCCATTTATAGCCAAAACATAATCTTTTGCCAATGCCAGCTGAGAATTATTGAACTTCAGCACAACCAGAAAATATCCTGTTTGGAAAAATTGTTTTAAAGGCTTTGACTGCCATCTCATATTTGCTTACTAATCTCTGAGGTCACTGGGGATAAGTCCCAGATAACCTTTTCCCCCATCTGATTCATTTGTATTGAATTGCAACTGATTTGGCACTTAAGCCCAATTTTCTTTCACTTCCAGCAAAGTTTTAAGTCTGTTACAACATCTCTTGGATAAGAAGCGAAACGTCTTCAAGGAAACATAAAGTGCAGTTGCCTCTTCAAAAAGTACCTTTGGGACATTACAGCAGGGATTTTCAAACTTTTACAGGCTATGGAACCAGAATCCGAGAATCCCTGAGTAAGAGACAAAGCTCTAATGGTAGAAAATGGAGAATAAAATTAAATTGGGTTCACTATAGCTTATTTATGCAAATTTATGAATTTCACAAACTTGGATGTACCAATTACTTCCCCAGAAAATCTGTCCTTATTCTAAGTCAGTGTTTCTCAACCTTGGCAACTTTAAGATGAGTGACCTAAGTACGCTGACTAGGGAATTCTGGGACTTAAAGGCCACACATCTTAAAAGTTGCCAAAGTTGAGAAACCCTGTTACCGTAATTTCCGGCGTATAAGACGACTTTCTAAAGTGCAGAAATCGGCACCGAAGTCAGGGGTCATCTTATACGCCAAGTTGTCTTATACGCCGGAAATTACGGTAGTTTCCGGCATATAAGACGACTTTCTAGGCATGAAAATCGGCGCCGAAGTCGGGGGTCGTCTTATACGCCGGGTCGCTTTATACGCCGGAAAATACGGTACTTTAAATAAAAAATTAAAGATTTCGGCATACCAGAGTTAAAACTAGAATTACACAATTCTAGTTACACAATAGGAGGCTGATGTTTCAACCAAACAAATCAAAGTTCAGTGACTGGGATATGATTTCTATTCTTGAGAAAAATTGTACCGATGTCCCTGTTTGTGTTTGGGCTTTTGGTTTGTCTTTAAACTCTCACAGAATCTCATCAAGTTCTTGCAGAACCTTAAGGTTCTGTAGAAAAGTTTCCAAACCCACTTCGGCATTCTGTGAGCAGGGTTCAGACATTTTCAAGGGGGTAGCGGATGGGCAGATCAAAGCCTGCATCTTCAGCTTTCTTTCATGTAGTGTAAATTTAACCCATCACGTGCATATTGCTTTGAGATTTGTATTCCTAGACAGGTGTGTAGTTTACTTCCTCTGCATATAGAATTTATATTTGGGGGCTGCTTGTCTTACCAACAGTTCTAGGTCCTTTTATCTCTGTGTTGGGATCAGTTGTTTCAAAAGGATGGGATGGCAACCTGGAAGCTATGGCCTCCCGTTGTGATTTTCAGACCCCCCTAAAACCTCCCCCTCCTTTCCCTCCAATGTTGAGTCCTGTAACAGAGTATGAGTTCTGATGCTTTCAAGGAGAAACAATGGCCACAGGTTGTATATAGGTCGTCCTCACCTTATGAGCACAATTGAGCCCAAAATTTTTGTTGCTAAGCGAGACACAGTTGTTAAATGAATTATGCCCCATTTTATGACCTTTCTGGCCACAGTTGTTGAGTGAATCACTGCAGTTGTTAAGTTAATAACATGGTTGTTCAATGAATTTGGCTTTCCCATTGACTTTGCTTGTCAGAATGTCCCAAAAGGGGCTCACATGACACTGGAACACTGCAACCATCATAAATATGAGTCAGTTGCCAAGCATCTGAATTTTGGTCACATGACCATGGGGATGCTGCAACGGTTATAAGTGTTGCAAAACGGTCATAAATCACTTTTTTCAATGCTATTGTAACTTCAAACATCACTAAATGAACTGTTGTAAGTCAAGGATTACCTGTACTGTATTTGCCCATTCTTTAAAAAAAAAAAAAAATCTCTTTTTCTCCCAAAGAGTATATTTTATGTTTCCTTGTTTATTTTTTAAAAAAAAAAGAAGTACCTGTCATGGAAGCCCTGCGAAGCAATTGCCGTAATCAAGGCCAAGTATCCATTTCTCTCCCTAGTCCTAGTCCTGCCTGGCTAATTGACCTGATGCATTAATTATCAAGAAGATGCTCTCATTCCCATTTTGAAGAAAGACACAACATTTGGCAAAACAACACAAATGTCTTTATAGTCCCCCCCCCCTATGGTGTGGATGCCAATTTGTGACATTTATCAAACTCTGACACATTTGGCTACTGTTGGGTTGGAAAGCTCAGCAATTGTAGAAACATAACACCATGGCAACAGTTGTCATAAATATAGAATTAATAGTTCCCTGGGGCTCTAATCCTGTACCTTTTTCTCACAGGATTTAATGGGGCTCATTTTTGAGTTAACATGAGCATTGCTGGATCATGAAAGAGCATGGAAAGAGGAGACGTCGGCAATAAGGCCAAATCAAATATGCCTTCTCAGTCTTACAGGGGGGAAGAGTTCATTTTAGCCCAACCAAGTAAAGCATTTGACTAGCCCTCTGGGAAAATGCTGAGTAATTTTTGACCTTTCATTCAGATCCCACTCCTTCAGGATGGGTGCACAATGGATGGAATCGCCTGGAATTACTCTTTGACCTCTTTGAGTTCTATCTAGCATCCATCCAAATAAGCCATTAAAAGTTGGAAATTTAAATCTCTTAAGCAACCACCTTGAGCCTACAAACTGCAGTAAATTCATTGCGTTTGGTGACACTTATGAATTAACTGGCTTGAGAATGCACTATTAGAAATCTTTATAAACCATTACATTTCAGTTAAAATGAATGCAAAGGATCTGAGCAGGAGTGAGTAAGGGCTCCTTAAAAAAATAGTTTTCCCTCAATGATAAATAGGGAAGCAAAAGAATGCTGGTGCCAAAGTTGACTCTGTTTAAATTAGAAATTTGTCACATTTAATTAATTATGTTCTGGAAGCTGTTCTTGTTTGTTTGGTATGAAATCTGAGGAAAGATAATTGGTTTTGGTTTTTCAACTAGCATTAAATCTGTGGTTAAAGAGAACTCTGCAATATTTTGGTCTACATAGGGAATAAGGACTGTTCCAGTCCGTAGCAACTTTCATTACTGGTATTGCATTAGATGGTCTCATATTTTAAAGAAATTAGAGTGGCAACTTGAGTATTTTCCTTACATATTCACACTACATCTTGTATTTGTGTTGTCACATAGTAGCGTGCTGCAAACAGGCTTAGCTAATAGATAAATCTCCTAAATGCTTGGTCCACTGATCATGTAGGTTTAAAATAACTCTTCAATTTTTACCTATTTTTATTCTGTTATAGTTTTATTGTAATAGGGTAATATTAAATGGGAAATTATATTTCACTGCTTTTAGTTGGCAGGTTAAATTATCTCAAAATTCAGTATTTCAAAAGACAGCCCATTGTAATAGCAAAGGATTTTGAAGATGGCTTCTTGGGTAGCTCAGTTTCAATATTTATCAGTCTGTTTATAAGGTACCCTCATTGTAACTTTTAAGACATACGTGACTTGGATTAAATTAACTTAAAACCCTGCTTTTTCATCTCATTAATTTATTTAGGTGTTAAGATTTTTTTGAAAAACATTTTTTTCCTCCACTGACTTTTTAAAATCACACTTAGTGGGAGAATTAAAACCTTTTGAATGGTTTCTCCCAAGATTGGTCTACTTCTTTCTCTGTTAATAGATGTTTCTATTAATTTAAGTTTTTATTGGATTGTTGAAGAGAATTTTAACCAGGTCATTCTCTTTTTTATTGATTTTTAATAATCTTATAATTTAATTAAACTGTATAATTACATTAGTCACTGAGAAAAATAATATAACTTTTTAATAATTAAGCAATAATCTATATATAGATTGCTAGGTCTAAACATTAAAGACTGTGGCTAAGGGCAGTGTACCTATGACAATTTGATGTTAGGTTTTTCCTTTGTTTATAACTTTTCAAATGTCAACTCTTACTAATCACCATTAGAAAATAAATTACTGAGCTAGATGGACCTTTTGATTTAAAGAAAATATTTTTCCTGTTTTCTTTGGGATAAATTCTCTTGTGTTTTTCTTTTTCTTGCCCTCTTTCAATAAGCCTTCTAGCAGGAACTAATGTTTTTTTTTTCTTATCACTTCGGTTTTTTAAAAGGAAGGTACAGTGGTGTCTATAGGATTAGAATGTTATCAAGCTTTATCATTTTTGTTTTGCATCTCTCTAACCTGGTTCATAAGCCAGGGTTTTCTTAATTATGATTTCTTGAATAAACCACAAATGGCTGTATTCACACAAGCTGCTGTGCCCAAACTGTACAGTCACCTTTATGGCTTAAACCAGGGTTCCCAATATCCCAGGCAGCAGACCAATACCACTCCGCGGCGGGTGAGCAAGCAGAACTTCATCTACACATGTGCACCCCCTCCCCCCCCCTTAGAGGAGAAAAAAATTCCACAAAACCATTCCTGGTGCCAGAAAGGTTGGGGACTGCTGGCTTAAGCCATAAATAATTCCTGCTTATCTTCCAGGAAAATGGATGATGGTTTCAGCCTTAAATCCTCATAGTGGTTCCCAAACTGTGGGCCATGGATTCCTTGGAGGCTGTGGAGTTATTAGAGGGCATTCATTTATACACCAAACATGCAAAACAAAACAAACACCATTCACATAGACCTTCTGTAAATACTGCTTGGGGTGAGATGAGACAGAAATACTGACTGGATTATGAGGGAGACTGAGAGGAACAGCGCTAATCTGTTTCGCCTGATCCTTCCTTCCGTCCTCCTGGCCAGTGGCAGTATTTCTGTCCCTCCCAGGATACTCAGTGTATGCATGGCTACCTACCATGGTAACATTCCTGGCATTATTTCTGGCTGCGATACCTGTAAGCTGCCCATGGATGCTCCCAGTCCTGTGAGGATGGCAAGCTCAGGAAAAAGAACCATTTTTCTGGAAATATCTTATTGGTCATAGGATAATGTAACAAAATCCTAAAAGCCTGCCAAAGCATAATTAAGGTGCAGTCCCCTTCACTGGACTCAAGAATCTCTTCTATTATAGCCTTTAATTCCCTCACCCATCAACCTGCCTAAGGCTTTCACCCATTCCATTACATGACCCCATAAACCACCATGGGGTCTCCAGTTATTTTGCTGTATTTAGCTACTCTACCAGGACTTACCACACATCCCTTCTATTCCAACCTCCATTTACTTTTTCTTTCTCCCATCACCATTGGATGTCTGAGCTCTCAGCAATGTACTAGCAGCTTCTTTTAGCCCCTTTTCTCACTGGGAGATGAGAAGCCAAAGCCATATGGCAAAAGTAGCCACAACTCCACCCACCTGATCCCACACTACCAGTGGGAACCCTTCACCCATCTGGAAACTCCCATGATGCATGCAAGCTGATGTTCATCTGAGTGGCCAGTCTCACCAGTATACACACATCCATCACATCCTGCTAACTCCTAGTAACAAATCAGGGAGAATGCTACTGCTTCTGTAAGCATGCACAAAGAGCATCCTCACTCAAATAAGGAAATACATATGGGCAGGTGGAATCATATTTAAAAAATGTTTGTTTATAGCGCTTTTACTTCTTTCTGGAGGGGAGCAGGTATATGTACATGGACAGGGGGAGATGTTACTACCTTTTAGACTGTTTTAGTGGGTTGCCAGAAAGCTTGCTTTATAGAACATAATAGTACCGTAAATGCCGGCGTACAAGGTGACCCGGCGTATAAGACGACCCCCGTCTTTATAGCCAGGCCGCATTCCTAGAACGTCGTCTTATATGCCAGAAACTACCAGTATTTCCGGCGTATAAGACGACTCGGCGTATAAGACGACCCCCGTCTTTGGCGCCGATTTCAATGCTCGCAGAAGTCGTCTTATACGCCGGCATTTACGGTAGTTAACCTTCCCTAGCCTGAATAAATAGTTGCATCTACATGGAACATGCATATATAATTTATAAAATCCAGATTCATTTAAAAACATTATCTGTGGTTACTGAATTCATAGTAGCTGTTTGTTTCATTTCGTGCATTACAGATAGACCTTGACTTACAACAGTTCATTTAGTAAACATTCAAAGTTACAATGACACTGAAAAAAGTGACTTATGACACTTTTGCACACAACAGTTGCAGTGTCCTCACAGTCACGTGATCAAAATTCAGACACTTGGCAACTAATTCATATTTATTACAGTTGCAGTGTCCCAAGGTCATGTCATCACCTTTTGCGACTTTCTGACAAGCAAAGTTAATGGGGAAGCCAGATTCACTTAACAACCCTGTTACTAACTTAACAACTGCAGTTATCCACTTTACTACTGTGGCAAGAAAGGTTGTAAAATGAGGCAAAATTCACTTAAAACTGTTTCACTTGGCAAAATAATTTTGGGGCTGAATTGTGGTCATAAATCAAGGAATACTGGAGTATCAAGGTATCAATGTTAAAAAGAGATCCTCAAATTAACGTGGGGGGGAGGGCAAACCTTATTCTGAAAAAAAAATTCAAATAGTGTTCAATGGAATATCACCATATTGTTCCATTAGTTGTTCTTTTCTCTGGACAAATGTGAAGCAGCAAAACTAATCTATGATAACCAATATCTTTCTTTTTTTTAAAGTAATTTAACCAGATCTGCTGCATTCATAATCTCTTCAGTGATGAAATATTGCTGGGAAGTATGGATAAAAATATTGCAGAGCAGCTTAATAAGGCATATGAAGCGTTTCGACAGGCGTGTATGGAGAGAGACTTTGCTAGGAAAGAACTAAAGCAAAAGGTATGTATGTTTTAATAACTAATCCTGTAAGTTAAGATTTCCTTTAAGATCGCTTCTGAGAAAAAAGGTCAACTCAGATTTCCTACATTACAGAAATATTCAGTGTAGTTCAATAATGCTATGTTGATTATCTGCCAAAATCATGCAGTCACAATAAAATGCTGTGTCATTCTAAAGATATTATTTTCTGTTTATGAAACTGAATGCAAGGATAGTTTGCATTTCTCTTTTAACTCTTAGGCAGCTTTGACATGTATCTACCAGTTGCCTCTTGGATTGCCTTTGTCAAAGAATGCTTGGCTTGCAAGGAGACAGAGATAGTCAGGAAGTTGATAGTAGGGGAAGAACAGTCTCCCACATTTGCAAGAGGAAACAGTAAGGAAACAGGCATGTGAAATATTTTTTTGTTGGTGCTTCGTATTACGGAAGTAGTGTTAAACTTAGTCTTAGTGTTAAAGTAGTGTTAAACTTAAAAACATACAGTAGCCTAGTGCAATATTTCTCACCCTGTTTTGCAATATTGCATCCTATGGCACAATATTTAATAGAGCAGTAATTCTATGGCACACAAGAAAATGATTAATCATATATAGTGAGCCTATTTTTAAATATGTAATACAAGGTTTGAAGGAAATTTATATAATTTTTTAAAAATATCTGCACTGTGTTTAAATATACAGATTATACATCTATTTATACACATACATATATACATATATAGTCTATATATAGAGAGAGACATAGACATAGATATATACAAAGACAAATAAGACAAAAAGCTTGTGTCACACTAAAAACACCTGTATGCTGCAGCACACTACTGAGACCCACTGGTCTAGAGATATTATAGGGAGATGAGAGGAATATACTATAGCTCAGTGGTTTTGCATACAGAAGCCCCCTTATTCATCGGCATCTTTATATAAAAACCATCAAACAAAATCTGATAATAAGTTCTAGGGAAGCTGAAGTAAGATCATAAACACAGACGTAATTTCACTAACAATCACTTCACTTAACGACCAAGTTGTCAGTCGCAATTGTAGTCACTAAACAAGGACTACCTTTACTGGGTTCGCTATAGATGAGTCTCATCCATAGTTCTGCAGCCATGCAGGAAGCCTTTGGGCTGTTGCTCACACCCTTTTGGAGTTTCACTTTTCATTTCAAATGAAACACCAGAGAACTGGAGTTGGTCTCCCTTCTATTTGAAGTAGTTGTCTACCTGCAGCTTATCAATGTCATCTGATAATTTTTAAATATATTACTGGTTATTTTATTTGTAAATGTTTCCCAGTGAAAGTTTTTGCCTAGAGAAGTTTGTTTATTGAACAGTCAAGTGGTTCTTTTTCTTAGTCTGAATGAAAGGCCTCTAAATGGTACAATAGACAATTTAGCAAATCTCAGTTTAGTGGTCCCATCAATGCAGAGGACAAAATCTGTCCCTATGCTGTATGCTTCTGCACCTCTGTGATATCCTGATTATCGTTTAATACATTAACAAAACAAGTGGATTGTCTGTGGGTGTCAAATGCTATTTGGATTCTCCCTTTCCTTAATTAGTTCATCGCTTTAAAATTTTCTCTACTTAAATTCCCAAGGGCAAAGTACAAGGCAGTTGCTTAAAGTTTTGTCAACTTATTATTGTCTCCCATTTAACTTGGGGTGGCTTAAAGAAGAGGCTTTTGCTCCGGTGACCCCTCCTCCCTTTTACTCTATGGTCTCATGGACTGGTTGGAGCATCTGTCAGTTTATGGCTGATGATGGATTCTGGTTGGCCACTTGTTTTGCTAGACTCTGCAGATCGAAGCTGTGTCAAATGCATAGAAGCCGGAGTCATCACGGCCAGATGGTACTCAATACAGATGGATATTTGGTTGTCAAGTATATCTTGTAGTTACTAACTTGTTGCTGCCATCTGACTCTAAAAGAATCACTTGTGCACGCTGGCTGTCAAAAGCATCTTTTCTTCTGTCTGTTTTAGCTGTCATGAGTGTGCTCTGTACAGAAGTGTTGACAAGACATTGCTGTTGTACATTTTCAATTTGGGTCTTAATGACTTTTTCTCTTCCTTCTGCTTCCTGAGGTCATCCAGGCTGCTCAAATATACTGACCTCTTTGCCTTTTAATGGGCTTATGGTGCAGTTATTGCTATATACTGAGCTTTTATTGTGTTTTGAGATAGTTGCACCCTTTCCGTTGCTTGCTCAAGGCTATGGTTTTCAGAAGTGGAAGATTAAAAAAAATGAAATTGTGGCATTGCTATTGTTCCACCAAATAACTCCTCTATCTATGTCAGAAAGCTAATTGTTTTCTTGTCCATAATTGTCTTGTCAAAAGTGGAAAAAATCCAGAACTTCTTTTAAAATGGCAGTATAGTAGAGGACACTAGATAAACTTGAATACAGCCATGCATATAATACTGGTATTTTTGACAAGTCACTGTTTTGTAGCTACACCTTCCTTTATCAGATTATTGTGAAGTAAATGGGGGAGGAGGGTAAACAAACTCTTATATTCCACCCTATTTCCTCAGAACAACCATGCAATGAGAATACAATAAATGAATAGAAGGGAAACAAGATACATGGGCATTTCTAGCTCCTTGAGTATAAAATTAAGCTAGAGTTTGAGGCAGTAAATTTAAGCCGCTAATGCCATGGCATAGGCGTTCTTTGTGCCTATCTGAGGTAAAACCTATTCATCAACATAAAATGATTGCTTCCAATTACATTATCGTTACAGACAGACAGCTATGAGAAGCAGATACATGACCAGCAGGAAAAAATCGAATTTCTAATGAGTATTGTTGCAAAACTCAAATCACAGTTGGCTTCTATGACTGCCAACAGAGGTATGTAATTTCCATCCTGCCTTTTACCGACTATCTCTCTGTTTGTGTCTCTTGCCATCCATAAGTGTCTTTATGTTTGTCTGTCTGTCTTGTGTATATAATGTCACAGAACTCTATTTTTTTTCCATGTGATCCTCCTAATACTGGTAATATCTACATTAAAAACTTTTTAAAAAGAACAGGCAGTCTCTAATAAGCTGATCTGCCTCCATTCAGAACTGAATTACAGAAACAAAATCTGCTCACCATTTTATAGCATAAGAGGTTGATGTATGAATATTGAACAAGAAATTGGGATGAATAAAAATGAAGGCACTGATTTTAACTGGTCAAAATGGCGGACTATGGGGCAAAACCTTTTCAACCAAGATACTTCAAATATTACTTACAAAATATGTCCAAACTCCAAGATCCATAACTCCCATGGAATTAAAATTTGGCAAATTTTTATAAAACATAACATAAACAATATTATTAAACAGTTTATGACATAATACAAAATGTCATAGAACATTTCCTGTGCTGGTGTTTAATTGTGCTATACAGTTCAGTGTGGGCTATTTTTAAAGCAGATACATCTCTGAATATATCCCAAATCTTCCAGCGAAGTCAGTAAATTGTTGAAGGCATTGAAGAATCTGGTAAGGAAATATATTTGAAAGGATGACCCAAGGTGTCATGGGTTATCTAGTGAAATCCTAAAAGGGGAAAAAGTGAAGGAAAACTATGTGAGTGGATCAATGATATTTTTTGCAATCCATTCTGGGCTTTATTTCCACTTCCTCCAGTTGGCACCTTCAATCCAGTCTTGAAAGTATTCCACTTTTCAGCCTGATCACTTGACCACTTTTTGGATCTTGGATCTTTAAAACTGCTAATAGTGTGCTACCATACATTGAACTTACTTTCTCTGTGCTATATCATAACTAATGGAAAGCATTTAAAAAATGTAAAACTTCAACTTTAGACGCCACGGACAACAGCTAAAGCAATAGGATTCATATTTAAGTAATGTATAGGAAGTATCTGTCCCACATTCACTAAGTCCTTATGTGGTTTGTTTGATTTTGACACTTAAGTTTTGTATGAGGTTATCCTTGTGTTTTTGTACAGGTGAAACTCAAAAAATTAGAATATCGTGCAAAAGTTCATTTATTTCAGTAATGCAACTTAAAAGGTGAGCCTAATATATGAGATAGACTCATTACATGCAAAGCAAGATAGTTCAAGCCGTGATGTGTCATAAGTGAGATGATTATGGCTTACAGCTCATGAAAACCCCAAATCCACAATCTCAGAAAATTAGAATATTGTGAAAGGTTCAATATTCTAGGCTCAAAGTGTCCCACTCTAATCAGCTAACACCTGCAAAGGGTTCCTGAGCCTTTAAATGGTCTCTCAATCAGGTTCAGTAGGAATCACAATCATGGGAAAGACTGCTGACCTGACAGTTGTGCAGAAAACCATCACTGACACCCTCCATAAGGAAAGCCTCAAAAGGTAATTGCAAAAGAAGTTGGATGTTCCCAAAGTGCTGTATCAAAGCACATTAATAGAAAGTTACAGTATGTGAAAGGGAAAAGTGCGGAAGAAAAAGGTGCACAAGCAGCAGGGATGACCGCAGCCTGGAGAGGATTGTCAGGAAAAGGCCATTCAAAAGTGTTGGGGACTTTCACAAGGAGTGGACTGAGGCTGGAGTCAGTGCATCAAGAGCCACCACACCCAGACGGATCCTGGACATGGGCTTCAAATGTCGTATTCCTCTTGTCAAGCCGTTCCTGAACAACAAACAACGTCAGATGCATCTTACCTGGGCTAAAGAAAAACAGAACTGGTGGTCCAAAGTCCTCTTTTCTGATGAGAGCAACTTTTGCATCTCATTTGGGAACCAAGGACCCAGAGTCTGGAGGAAGAACGGAGAGGCACACGTTGCCAAAAGCACCAAAACCTGGTTCAATGACCGTGGGATTACTGTGCTTGATTGGCCAGCAAACTCGCCTGACCTGAACCCCAAAGAGAATGTATGGAGCATTGCCAAGAGAAAGATGAGAGACATGAGACCGAACAATGCAGAAGAGCTAAAGGCCGCTATTGAAGCATCCTGGTCTTCCATAACACCTCAGCAGTGCCACAGGCTAATAGCTTCCATGCCATGCTGCATTGAGGCAGTAATTGCTACAAAAGGGGCCCAAACCAAGTACTGAGTACATATACATGCTTATACTTTTCAGAGGTCCGATATTGTTCTATGTACAAACCTTGTTTTATTGATTGCATGTAATATTTTAATTTTCGGAGATTGTGGATTTGGGGTTTTCATGAGCTGTAAGCCATAATCATCTCACTTATGACACATCACAGCTTGAACTATCTTGCTTTGCATGTAATGAGTCTATCTCATATATTAGGTTCCCCTTTTAAGTTGCATTACTGAAATAAATGAACTTTTGCACAATATTCTAATTTTTTGAGTTTCACCTGTATAATGTGGACATGGAGCCAATTCTGGTTGGGTATGGCTTGATATGTTTTTTTTAAACTGGTATATTTTTCATTTGAGATAATCTGAATGGTGTTTGTGAAACATGAAACAGAACTGGCATCTGAATATCCTCCTCCAATGTCTTTTGACCACTTTCTACTATAAAGGCAACTGTGCTACCTGGGATAGAGCTGTTGACATACTGGCAATAAATGACTGTTGCTTGTCTGGGCTAGCTCTACCTTTAACTGAAGAGGAGCCACAATTCCAAGTGGCAAACTGAGACTGTGCACAATAAGGCCAAACCTGATACATGTCTGAAATGCTCATTTCATTATGCAATACTGCAGTGTTTCCCAAACTTGACAATTTTAAGGCATGTGGACTTCAACTCCCAGAATTCCACAGCCAGCGTTGCTGGCTGTGGAATTCTGGGAGTTGAAGTCCTCATGCCTTAAAATTGTCAAGTTTGGGAAACACTGCAATACTGGAAGCAGCACCTCCTGTCTCAAGTAGCTGACCTTCTTGAACCGCTTTCTGGAATGGGACCTTTAGGCACACACCATTGACTGTGCTCACTTCACTCCTAGCCATCTGCCCATTCACAGCTAGTTTTTCTCCTCCGCTGGCCCTCCCCCGATGATTCTCCATGGCAAATGGCCCCATGGCCCTCTGCCCCCAGCCCTTCAGCCTGGCCCTTTCCACTAGGCACAGTTTGATGTGGGCATTTTGCTCCACAGCACAAGAAGCTGCCAGCCAATTCGGGGGAGGCAGCGATGGCTCTGGGAGGGGGCCAAGGGCACTGTGGGGGGAGCAGTATCACCGGGATCAGTGGCAGGCTGGGAGAGAGAGCAAGATCTACAGTGGTGCACAGCTGCTGGTGCTGCAGGGAGGGCAAGAACATGCACCCCACGTGCGACCAACGGGTTTCAGAATCGATTGGAGGGCTCCATGAGTGGCCAGTATTTATGTACAGAGAGATGGTGGTGGAGCTTGAATCCTTCCTATTTTGACACATACCCCTCCTGCCATTGCCTCCGCACCTTGGGCTGCACCGGATTAGAAGCAAGCAAGCAGGTGGGCAAAGCAGCGATGGCACTGGGCATGGCCCTCGCATTTTGATGCCCCTCGCTGCTGCTGTTGCTTTTGTGTCTGAGGTCTGGCCTGAACGCCAAGCAGGCAATTTGCCTGCCACCCTCCTGAAACACCAGCAGCTGCGCACCACTGCCATTGGCCTGCCGTCCCCCCTGTAGCACCAGCAGCTGTTTGCCATTGCCATTGGCCTGCTGCCCCTCCATAGCACCAACAGCCCCATGCCAGCACAGATCTTGTTCTCTGCCCCAGCCTGCCACCGATCCCATCACACACAACCCCCGAGCTCCTTCGGTCGCCCCCCCAGTGCCATCACTGCCGCCCACTACCCAATTGGCTGGCAGTTTCTTGTCCCGTGGAGCAAAATGCCCAGGACAACAGTGCCTAGGGGAAAGGGCCCGGCAGAGAGCCAGGGGGCCATTAGCCATGGAGAATTGCTGGGGGAGAGCCAGCAGAGGAGGAAAGCTAGCTGCAAATGGGCTGAGGCTCGTGGCTCAGGATGAAGTGGGCACAGTCAATGTTGGGAGCCTAAAAGTCCTAGACTCCTGTATTCTAACAATAGCACTTAGACTTATATACTGCTCCATAGTGCTTTTCACAGATTGTACCACTTTTAGGACAAGACAATATTTGAGTACTACCAGTGCTTAGCAAGGTGTCAAAAACTTGATGACTAAAAAAGGGGGGAGGTTTTGGGTTTTACTGATTAGATTCACTTGTTGTTATAGAAATGGTAGTTTACAGTATAATTTTATGGAAAAATAAAAAGTTGAGGTTCGATGTTAATGCTTCTTTCTACTGCAACAGAGGAAGTATGTTCTTTTTCCCTTCTCCCACTCACTTTTTCCTCCCCACTGTGTCCTACTATTTGCTTTTATATTTTTGTATTTTATTCTATAATCTAATAAAATATTACAAACTGTAGAAAAAAAAGGAAAAAGGTACCAGTTTTAATTTCTTTAGTGGCTGTTCCTTTGCTGAATCACTTTCCCTTTGCATTGACAAATATATGATGAATTTATCCATGTTTGTTAATATGCACCACTGCCAGCTAGCTCAGGGGTCTTCAAACTTGGCACTTTTAAGACTAATGGATTTCAACTCCCAGAATTCCTCAGCCATCATGGCTGGTCGAGGAATTCTGAGAGTTGAAATCCACAGGTCTTAAAGTTGCTAAGTTTGTAAACCCCTGAGCTAGCTGGTCGGCCCTTCTTCCTCTCTCCCTTCTGAGCTCTTTCCCCAGAATAGTAAGAATGCACCACCATCATACTTACCTGGCAGGGGAGACACCTTGATCACGAAGGAGGTTTTCCCAGGGTGAGGCTCATCCATTGCACTCCGGGTGTGCTGACCCCTGCGATTTCCCCAAATGCGGGAAACTCGACTGCATAATTTGTGGTAGTGGGGGACTGCGTTCGCGCTTTCCCCTGTAAAAAAAAAAAAGAATGCACCACCATCCCCAATCCCTTCCCTGTACCCTTAAAGACACAAGAATCAAGTGCAAAGCAAAATAAAGAAGCAGCAAATTAAGGCAAGATTCTGGAGAAAAGTTAGCAAGCTCTCTATTTACTCAGAAAAAACCCTTCAGTTTAGTCACTGAAATTATCCCTCTTTGTGAACTCCAAATTGGATTATGAACTCCAAATTGGATTAAGTAAGTTCATAAAGAAATAAGCTTTGATTTACCCTGTCTTTTAGCCAGAAATGAGTAACTGTTTAAGTTGCATTGTGTTCCTTATTGTTTAGTGGCATATCAGTTTCAAACAATTTGATTTAATTAACAGACTTTGCATTGTTTTGCAATATCATTAAATAGCAATAAAATGTGATTTATACAATCTTTTTATGGTTTTCTTTTGCATGATATCTTTGAAAAGGGGTTTGATTTAGAACGTGTATATTGTTGCATCCATTTGATGGTGGAATAGGAAATTTTATGTATTGTATTTTTTAATTCAAATTGGGATTTATCTGTGAAACAAAACCGTAATGTATTCTACATTTTTTCACATGCACCTAAATATTTTAATTTGAAACAATACTTTCTTTTATAGTCAACACTCATAGTCAAGTTCCAGTCCATGAGAACAATGAAATGGGAAGAAATGGTACCTTGTTGAACTCAGATTTTGATCAGCTCCAAGAAAAGCTGAAATTGGCAATGCAAAGGGAAAAGCTTTTGAAGGTAGGACACTTTCTTTAAGATATATAGTGGCCTTAAAAGTTAGAAAGAGAAAAAGATAAGTTATAAGAGTATATTACTGTTAGGAGAAACCCTTGTAATGAGAATAAACTTGAAGACATCATCACTGCTGCTGTTCCTCAGCAGAGATATTTCACCTGTTTTTGATCCACTGCAGTGTGTTATTTCATATAAGCTTGTCAAAATGTAGATATGCTACATAGACATGCCTATTTGGAATCATTTGACGCTTTTCAACTAGCCACAATTAAGAGTCAATTAAAAAGGAAAGCTTTGATTCTCTCCTTTGGTCACAGTAAACTAGTGACGAGGATTTTTCTGGTATCCTGAATTATTATTCTCAGCAGCCTTAACCAGCATGTCAAATAGTGAAGGATGCTAAGAATTGTAGTTGAGCAGATAGTTGGAGGCCTTTTAGGTTGCCTCCAGTAATATTTACACTTCTTTTACTTTTTGTCTTACTAGAGGTTATGCATGATCATGAAGCATAGAAGAGTCCCTAAGTCTGTTTGTGTTAAGCAATAGATGGGATCTTGCCTCAGTGAAATAGTATGTGATTTACATATAGTGCTAGCTTGGGATTTTGGTCAGTTTTTACCATCCCTAGCTGACACAGAGAATTAGTAGGTAATGGGAAAAACTCAATCCGGAATCTTGGAGAGCTCAAAAAGATTAGTACTTGGCTAAATGAATCTGATGTGCATTAAGGCAGCTTTTCTCAATTACTAATATCAAACTCTTTTACGAAAGCTTATTTTTTTAGCTTGCAGATAATGAGCTAGGGACTTGTATTTCTGTCAACTAAGCATATTTTAATCTTATGTGTTAATTTGTTAATAAAGAATACCTATTTTGTCAAATTAGTGACACTTGATAATTACGTTGGAGAAATCTAATTTCAGAATCTCTCTCATTCTCTCTTTTCCCTTTTCTCTTTAAGCAAGCTTTGTAATTTCTGCCTTAGAAATTTGGAATTGGAAACAAAAAGAAAAATTAACCTTCCTCTGGTAACAACATAGTACCTATGTTTACAGACTGCAAATAGGGATATAGCAATCCTCATTGCCCCTACAAAAATATCCCCAGTATATTTGCTTAGTTTTAAGCAACATTTGCACTGTGACGACATGCAGATGTCCAACTAATATTGTTTTCACAAAGTAACCTTAACCAAGCCTCCTTTCCTCTGCTTCAGTTCTCTACCTGTGGTAACACTAACCTACTTTAGGAGAGGGTCACACAAATTGCAAAAATAAAAGGTGGCAAGCATTTTGAAACTCAAATGTTATATGAAATCCAAATATTATTGTTTTTAAAAGGATGTACTATTATTTTCAATATATGTGAAAAGGAGAGGAGGTTTGTCATACTTGAAAATCAGGAGGGAAGAGGTATTCCCTGTTTTATCTAAGCACAAGGGAGAAGAAAAAGAATTCCTCAGTAAAACAGGTAGCAACATGCTTATTAAAAAAAATTGTACCAGGAGGACACTCCTTGGAGTGTTCTGGTCACCTCCAGTTCAGAAAAGGAATAGGTCTATTGGGAAACATAGAGAAAAAGCAGGGTGGAAGTCGGAAAAAATAAGCTTTTTCCCTACTATACAGTACACCTAACCGTAAGCTCTGAAAGCAGTGGCCAAGATCTTAGTCCCACTCATCATATGATAATAGTGAGGATTCCTATTGAGTGTGCACATGTTTTTGTTGGTGTGGCTATGTAATTTGAATTGGGCTATTCATATATGTGAAATTTAAGGCTACAGGCCAATAATAGGAAAATAATTGTTCCTATTTTTACTTTTTTCTCCATTGTTACCTTTATCCTTGATTCTCCCATGTTCTCTTGAATAAATGTGATGTTGTTTGTTCACATAAAACATTAAATCTCCTTCAAATCAAGCTCTTCTCATGGTAACTCCAGGGAGGTATAGCTGTCTAACCAACATTACAGAAAATAGTTTGACATTGGAGGCTTCAACGGGTGAGAAAAAAATCACCTGGGGTTACTTTTACTTCCAAGGACTCACTTCACTTCCTGGGCTGTGTCCACAGGTTTGAAGGAGATAGGCAGGTAACACAGCACAGCTATTCTACAAAACAGTTCCAAGCTTAAGAAATAGCAAGAAAAGAAGGAAGACTACTGCAGATCTAGATTGATGAAGTTCCAGGTGGCAAGGAACAAGTTAACTGAATAAATGTTAACCTTGTTTTGTGAATTTTATATTTTTTTTATTCTTCCAGCATTCTTTTCACTTTGAAAATCAAAGATTTACGACCCTCCAGAAGTTCATAAATGAGCCCCGGGAACAAGACTAGAGACAAAATAATATTGGGAGTTACAGACTTCCCATCTTTGCTTTAAGCATTTCTAATGTGTTGTTTTGCGCTTTAGGATTTATTTTTAGCACTAAAAAGCGGGTTCAAATATTCTCAGTCTCATAAATAGATATAGATATGCACCTTCTCCAAGTTCATTCTAACTTCCTTCAGTTTATCGTGTGAAGTTTGGGATTATAAAGTCCTCATCCCATTGTACTGCTTTCTATTACATTTTAAACATTTTTTTCTTTTTTAAAAAAATCATAAATTTCTTAGAAAGGTCAGCCTGCTTCTTGCTGTTTTTAGAAACCTGTCACTGTCTCAGTACTTTTCACATCTTTCATTTGTTTCTTCTTCTGTTGTTTCTCTCCTATTATTTATTACCATCTTCCTTGGCTCCACTCTGAGCAAAATGTGGTGCTAATAGCTTTTCCCACCCATCCAGAAATAGAAAAATAGATTTCGTCCTTCTAAAACCTTTCTATCAAACACATCCACAAATTTATTTTATTATTTACATTTACACAGGCAGCAAATAACACCAAATGTTCTCTGGGTGGCTTACCAAAAAGAAAATAATGAAATACAGAACCCAGAGAATGACTGAGCAGTATTTTTAATAGTGGTTAAAGTACTGGTGGTATCCACCTTAATTTTTATTTTATTTATTAATTAAATTTGTTTAATGCCTATCTCGCTGCAAGGCAACTCTGAGCGGCTTACTATATCAAAATAAATCCATAAATATATAAATATTTATACATTTATACACATAAATAAAATATTTGAAAGTTCAACTGGGGAATGAAAAATGTATTGCACATAGGTGAGCTTTCATCACTGCAGCAGTTTCCCCCCTTTTCAGTTTGAGGAAATACTTATCTTCATAATAGCATTTTGCAATGCATTGTCCATTCGGAAGTAAATCCTATGGATGAGCCACTAAGAAGATAATAGGACTGTACTTTTCTTCTTTCCCCATTCAAAATGTGAACAAAAGCAAATGTATTTCGGTCGTTTTGCTTGTCATTAGTTAAACAGATTGACCAGATGGAACCAACTAGGCTTTAGCTACTCATCATTTTCACAATGTTCCTACTTCTGATACTCTGTTTCCCAGTTTTGACTCTGGACTGCCATTTTTCATAGGCAAAACACACACATGCAACATGTAATATGATTACATTGAATTACTGTTCTTCATAGTAAATTGACAAACGCCATGCATCCATCAGAGCTGGAGATTTTGATCTTCAGGAAAACACAGTGTTGTTAAAGCTGCTGCTGGTGGTGGTAATAGCTTCGGGTTTTTTTCTTGGTGGTTTCCCCTTTTCTGTATAGACTGTCATTATATGCAGAGAATTAATAGATTATATCCTAATGATGCAGGGGAGAAGTTGACTATTTAAAAGCCTTAATATCTTATTTTTGAAGCTTAATATCTTGAGTCTTGTAAAATCCTAAGTGCTAAATAGCTACATTTTAACTGTTCCAGAAATTAAGAGCCTTGAAGACTATTGTCACTTTCTTTAAATATATTTTATCTTCCATCCTAGCACATGCTGAAACTAATTAAATATTAGTGAACAGACTATATAAATGGAATAAGACAACATTTCTTGCATTTCTAAGCACTAATATGCATAGTAGTGGTGTGACTCCTTTTATGTATGTACTCAAAATAAAGCACAATTGTTTTGAATAATTGTCCACAAGGAAATTAACTGCATATTGTAAGTAAATGAATTATAATTATTTCATCTTAACCTAATGGTATTTACTCAAATTTGATTTCATATAGGAGCACAAAAGGAGTCTTGATCAGATCAAAGGCCCATTTGGTCCCTTAATCACATGACTTTTGAGAAGCCCACAACTGGTTTTGAGGACAATAGGGCTTCCCACTCACTTGCTGAGCAGGTGCCATTGAGAAAAGCCACACTATCTTGGACCCTGAGGCCATATATAACAATCACTTATCACAACCAACATTCTTGATGGATTTTCTGATATTGGGAGCCATTGTTCAATGATGAATCTCATAAATCCCATCTTTCAGTTCCAGTGGATGATTCCAATGAATGAAGAAAAAACTTATCTATACATTACCCACTTACATTGTGGCATATTATTATATACTGTTAATGCTGTGCCTCTCTTAACTTACAGTTTCTATTTTCTTCATAGAAAAACTACACCATTTCCGTTATCATTTAATTGCTCCTTTTCTGCCTCTTTTCCAGCTCCATCAGAGACAGACAGACAGACAGACATACATACATATAAAATACAGCTACTAAAACTATGTGCCATATTCCAAGTGTGGTCACACCATAGATTTGTATAAAGGCATGATGATATTGTCAGTTTTATTTTTCAATCTTTTTCCTAATGATCTCTAACATGGAATTCGCCTTTTCACAGCTTTTTCACAGATTGCTAAGACTTAATTTAGCCTATAACAATCTATTCTATAATGACATTCCTCAGAGCTTGAAAATTAACCAACTGTGCTCTCTCTTTCTCTCTGTGTATGTGATTTTTTTTTAAAGGAACAATTGGAAAGTGAGAGTGTAAAATTAAAAAAAACTGAAGAAGATAGTAATTTAAAGGAAAAGAAATTTGAATCTATTATCACTGCCAAAGAAGATGAAATAAGGAATCTAAAAAAGCAGCTGAAAGAAATAAATGAAGTACAAAACTGCATACAGGTACCAAGATACGAAAAAGAGGTAAGAAAATTCAGAGATATTGTAGAGATCTCAAGACATTCAGATACTGTAGGACTGAAACTAATTTCATAAGCCAAAACTTAAATGCAGTGTACTCTTTTGTAAATAAAGTACTCTTGTAAATAAAGTATTTTATTTAAAAAATACTCAGATTAATTTCCTCTGCCTTTTGGAATGAAAAGCAGATATTCAATCTGTCATTCCTTTGTATATCTAATATTTTACTTTAAAGACCGTACTGGATTCACTTACCCAGGCAGACTTTTTCTAAACTCTGAAAGCTATGTAAAAGATGGATTAACAGCACGTGGCAACCCCTGGCCAACCTTATTGGGGCTCTGAAGATAAGAAAGGTGGGTCCAGTTAGGGCATGGCTGGGAATGCTCTGAAAAAAATTGGGCTGTAGGGTAAACGTGATTTTTTTTTCCAAAAAAAAAAATGGAATAACACTTTCTTACAGCTGTCAAGAAAGCTTCAAGGATAAGTCCATGAAGTTCCCATAATTCAAACTGGCCTTGAAGAAGACTCTATCTTAGCTAATAGGCTTTGAAATAAAACGCCCATGTAATACAGGGATAATCCACAAGATGGTAGTAAAATATAATAACTTCTCTCCTTACTTGAGAAAACATGTTATATTAGCCCTGGATCAGCTTTAATAAAGAGTAAAGTGTTCTTCCTGAGTTTTATGATGATGCATGTTAATGTACAAAGGCTGATGCATAAATATGTATGGACTTGGTAATCCCTGCCCAGTTTCATTATGTGGAGAGAATTCTATGTGGAAGAATATTTGTATGATTTCTTTTTGTATGAAAATGACTGAATTATGGGAAAGCCTAATAAAAAAGAATGAAATGCAAGTCAGCATTCGATGTGTCCCTCTTATTTAGCTAAATTAATTATTTCTTAGGTATGAGTATGGAACACTTCTTGGTTAACTCAGCTATCCAAAATACTTCGGGCATATTCTAGCACCTAAAAATAATGAGGATATGATCCATAATAGATCTCCAGCATACGTATTTCTAAACAATGATTTATGGATTTTATTTTTTTGCATAAAAAGTAAGGCAAGATGCCGTTAACAAGTGGATATTATTTTAGTACATTATGGTTCGGTTAATTTATAGGGGTGATTCTTGTAACAATGTTATAATTCAACTTTTTTCTCTCTACTTCTGATCACCTTCAAAAGGCAAGGAGTGAAAAACATCCTTCGTCTAGACAGGAATTATCATCAGGGGTCTCTTCTGCATCTGTCTGTGAAAGGTATGGAATTGAGCTTTCCCCCCCCCCTTCTATAATAATGCATTATTTGTCCTTGCTTGCTGATTTTAAAAGATGGGGGATATTTCCCCCTTACTTCTTGCCTTCTCCCTTCCCACTTCTAAGATGGATGTCTGGAACCACTTTTAGGCTAGGTTGACCCATCCCAACTAATGTGATTTTGCTTGGTTTTGGCTTTTGCTTTGTAATTTACGATTTAGGGCTTAGGCAAAATAGGGACAGAGGCAACTGCAAATAAGCCGGGCTTATGTGATGATGTGTGAATCCAGTGCTCTAAACTGAACAATTAATAACATAAAAGCTGCCAGTGGACACCTGGTGCCTTAATTAACAGAAAAGGAAAGGCTTGGCCCAAGCAGAACAGCAAATGGGTATGCCTAGGCAGTAAAACCTTCACTTGCTGGATTTCAAGTGGATCAATATAATGATACTTGAAGCCTGGATCATTTTTCAAAAATTCTGGGGGGGAAAAATCTGTCTTTCAATTGACTGAAGCCATCCCCGAATCTGTGGAAAAAGATTAGGCTGGAACAGACTGTCTCGAAGTCAGAATTATGGGACAAGAAACTGCAGAAAAGAAACTGATGATTAATTTCACCTTATGCACTGCTACTCAATCTTGACTGGATTTTGCAATCTGAAGCCTTTAGGGCAACAGACTATTCCTCTCTCACTGTAAATAGCATATTCCTGCTCTGGGTCCTCAGTCTACCTCTTCTGATTTCAAGCTCCTCCAGGAGAATCCTCATTATCCGAATATGCTTAAAACACTGCAAATGGGGAGACATTTTATCCATGGGGTGGTATCAATAAGGGTTGTTTTTCTACATACCATTCAAGGATAAATGATAGGAATATGCTCAAATTTATTTTGCTTTCATCTTGAATACCAAAATAAAGGTATTATATCAGTTCATGCTGGATCTCTCTACTTTTTTTAAAAAAATAACATACGTAGAAGAAAAAAACTCTGATATCTTTATGCCAGAAGTTACTTCAGTTGTTTTAACTTCTCACACTTTTCCCCCCGTATAACCCCCTCCCCCATGCTCCAATATTAATTTTGTTGGAGGCCAGAAGGACAAATACAAAATCCCTGTAGTATGCCTATATTTTTGTATTCTCTAATGGGGGCTATAATGAGTAAGACTCAGTTTGCGGGGAGAAGAGGAAAGGTTTAATCACATGTCTGTGTGGTATTGTTCCAGTCAATTTGAGAATCTGTCCTTCCCATCAGCTACCTTACGAAGTTACTGTTTTATCAAAATTCCTTGAAGATGGGATCATGGATCCCCTCCCATAATTTCTGGCCTTAAGTCTGGGTTGCAAACAGATGGTGCCGGTGTTTGTAACGATATGTTTGTTGGGCTAAAGGAACAGAAAAAGCATGGGATGATACTTTACATCTGAAATCATTAATCTTTAGGGATGAACTGGAAAGTGTTTTCTGGGGCATGAAAGAAGAATTCAGTCGAATACGTGCACTGGCAAGGGCACAGGGAGACCAGCTGAATAAATTTAACCTACGGAGAGAACCTACAACTGGTATCAATTTATTGTAGTACTTCTTTTGAAAACTATGCTTTACTGCCTTCTAACTCTTTGCATTGACTGCGTAGAGATTCAGTTTAAGATTGTCCATATCTTTTTGTTATGCAGAATGCCACATAATAGAGTGCATTTATTTGATATGGCAATAACCCTCAGGTTTTAGGGAAAATACAGTGCTTCTTCATTTATGGCATGTGATTTGACAGCTCAGTTTGCTGTGAATGCACGAATTCCATTTTGCAGTGATTGTCTTGATGGTTTTACTGGCAAAATAAAGACTTTTTGGTCACTCTAAAAATAAACTATGTAGAAGGAGAAAGGCAACAGTGTCTGGGTTACCTCACTCCTTCCTAACCACCATATATTGCTAGCAAAAGCCTACTATGACCTCATTTGGTATAATGCCACTTAGATTTCAGAATCTTGGTCAATTAGGTTTGCAACCACATTCTAATGAATACATTTACATTTTTGCAGCAGACATGTTCACTGACTGAGGGAACTTAAATTAAGATGGTTGGGCTAGAAAGTGAGGTCCTTATTCCCCCTTGATGCAGTACTGTATCAGGGTTTGTTTGTTTTAATATCCACTGTAGTGAGATAATCTCAGCACAACACAAGCCTCATGTGAGGCTGCTCTTGAGTTATTTAAGCAGATATGAATTTGCAGCTTGTGGCATGGTATACGGAAAGGATGCATACTGCCCAGCTTTGCTTTAATGTATATTTTATATATATACAGAAATATAATGTGATGGATTTAATCCACAATCTAAGATACCTGATTTCTTTTTTATAAAAATGAGTGGCACAAAAGGATGTATTTCTAGGGATTGGGCTGCTGATAACATTTTGAGCAGACTGAAAAAGCAGTAAACTATGACTTAATTTTCTTTTAGAGATAAGTCGTTTAATGTGATGTAAATGTCTAAAAGCTACTGACATGCAAAGCATCTCAGGTTTGAGCAAATAAATACTCTATTTCAAGTTTAAAGCTGTTTTGCATTCGAAATGGACTAATTTTGATCATTTTGGAAGTATTTTGCACTCTGATAACTCCATTTCGAGTTCAAAACACACTGTTTCAAGCTCAGACCACTTCCGAGTGATTGAAAGAGCCTTTTTAAAATGCAAACTTGTTTCAGGTTTTGAATTTAAAACAGTTGAAATTTGAAACATTTGCACACCCCCTACTGAAAGCCCTTTCCTCACCTCAGTTGTAAAAACCATCTTTGCTAGATCAAACCAAAATCTGTCTAATCTATGACAGCCAACAGGGGCCTATCAGATGCTCCTGCAAAGTATATGTGCTTATAACCCAATTTTCAACATTCTTTGTTCTCTAATAATAGCTGCATCTGATTGCTAGGCTTGGCTGATTTATAGCCAACTTCCAAAGCTTGAGCAGTTTAGGAATAGCTGATGTAAGTGCTTCACAGTATAACATGTACTGGAAGAAGTTAAGTCTGGACAGAGCCAGTCATTTCCTTGAATAATGGCTTTTAACCTGCCAGAATTCTCTGTATTTTACCAGAGATTTCAAGTATGGGCTTAACTTAGTCTCTAATAAGTGCAGATATGTGGTTGTTTTAGCAAATTCTACAACATGGCTGCAATGATATGTGCTAAAAGGATGTCTTATAATTTCTCATCCAGTAGTATCTCTCTGAGCTAGGATTTAAAACCACAGAAGAAAGTATAGTTAGTGACCCTTTTCAATCCATTCTTCCCCCAAGGACTCCCCCCAAAGGGTCTCTTGAATGAAAGAGGAAAATCATGAGGGAACGGAGGAAGAAATGCCCCTTCTCTATGCAGTGAAACAGTTGAAATCTGTATTAAAACACTGAAAAAAATGAGACTGGCTTGAATGAAGCCAAACTGAATTGAAAGAACAGATGTAGTTATAGATAGACAGGTAATTTAACTTAATATAGAAAATAAAGATATTTATATGCAAGCAATGAGCTCTTGGGAAAAAAAAAGATCTGATAGACTGTTTAACTGCTAGACTACTAATCAAGAAAACTTTAACACTTTGAGACATAAAAGCAATTATGTAATATTTTACTTTAGTTCCAAGCAAGAATTCTAACGTGTTATCTCTGAAGAAACAAATTAATGATTGGACGAGGAACACCAACATCAGCTTGCTATGGGGAAGATATGTGTGTGTGTTAAATTTGGAGGCTGCCTATTTCTCTCACAGAGCAACTCTGGATGTTGGAATTGGTCATGAATTTGTATAACTGTATGATATTTTTTAATCTGGTATTTGGGATATCTTTTAATCTTTTCCTTTGCGTCTTTTTTATCAGAAATCCCTTTCTCCAAGCCTGTCCAATGCACTGATGAACAAACAGATGACCTTTGTAATCCTTGGGTTAAAAAGGAGGCAAACAGAGATGTATCTCACTTCCCATCTATTGCGTCAAGAGGAATGGGACCGGATGAGGAAGAAAACTCAGTGGAATCCCTTTCTAAGCTTAATGTTAAGTTCCCACCTACAGATGGTGATGCTGAATTCTTGGAGAGCTCTCCAGAGACAACTCCAATTCTAAACACTCTGATGACTGAAAATGTGCTCCCAAATCAGCCATTTAACATGGATCTTGGGGACCAGGAGGTGAGTTTCAATAAGATGAATTTTAACTGCAGAGAGTATGAGTAATGACTGTACTACTTCAGTGATGCAAAGCAGGTCAAAGGTAAGTTTACCCAACCTTCAACTCGCCCAAATATGCTCATCCAGACTCTTTTGAACAAAGCTCCGTGTTATATAAAAACACATTTCTTTATAACTCTGCAACTAGAAACTATAATAAATAGAATTTTCCTCTTCAGAAGCTAATGAGAAAAATGTTGGGGAACCTCAGCTGGTATCAATCTTTTAAAATATATCCTTTATTTTTATTTATGATTGACTTGTAAGCTGTAAGATTGAGTTTGGGCTTCAGTTTCTTTCTGATATATATTTCCAAGGCAAAACTTGCTGCTTGCTGTCCTAATCAAAAATATCTGCATTAGTCCAGGGCTAAGCAAATAGGATCTGTAGGTACCAATAAGCTCTGAAACTTATCTCTTGGTATATATGTCAGGCGCTCTATTCACCTGATTTATTTTTGCATTTGAAAAAAATGAAACCAAAAATTGGCATGTCTCCAATACCACTCCTTACCATAATTTTTATTTATGCAAGTTCTTTTGGGTGAACAAAGATCCCAATGTAGTAGTAAGACATTACCAGGAGTTGATTTGCTTTATGATAATGCATGTTCTGTGCCTGGACCTGGCCAATTTACTGAAAAGCCAAGTCTCCCATAGCAGCCTTTCAGGATCACATGCTCACAGTGTGCTCACAATCTCTAAACATTTGCCTACACTTCTAGTTTTATATACAAATACATATATCATACTAATATATATATTAGTATTGTAATGGTATTTAAAATTTTGCTATGGAATAGAAGCTAGTGTTCTCCACTCTGGTATTTATTTATGTAACTAATTTATTCAATTTCTATAGCCACCGTCTCAGTCTTGTAACTCTCGGTGGCTTACAATTCAAAACGTCTATTACAGTTAAAAATACTAAAAATATTTTAAAACAGTAAAATCATTAAAAACATATGATGATGATGATGATCCATGTTTTTAAATTAAAATGGAGGTTAATTTTAGGCAAGTTTACCCATGATGTGTGAATGACTGCAAATAAGTGATTCTTTTATAGGTTGTTCTTAGTTTACTCAAGGGCCTCATGTTGCACGTATTCAGATAATTCAGATGTCTTTCTCCTGACCTGTTTCAGCAACTCTCTCTGGATATAGTCGTGATGTATGCATGGATTTGCCTTAAAATAGTCAGTAATAAGAAAACCTCATTTATTTTTATTATTAATGTTTTATTACTCTTCACTCCTAGGACAGCCTTCCTCTATTTTATGTATTCCAGATGTAGAGGACTTCCAAGATGGCTCAGTGTAGCTCAATATATCTGGATTACAGGAAGCCTGCTTTGGGAACCTAGTATGATATTCTTGGTTTCCCTCTTTCTCCCTACTTTTTTCCTTCTATAGCCCAGTAGTAGAGTACAACATTGCTTACAGATAGCCCAGTTTCAGTCTTTGCAATCCCTAAAGGTAGATGCTGGAAAGTACCGTATTTTTCTGTCTATAAGACGCACCCTTGTATAAGACGCTCTGGCATGTGAGTTTCTCCATGCCGATCAGCTGTTCGGCAGAGCGCCAAACAGCTGAGCCGGCAAATCCGGAGGTTCGGCCAGCCGATGATCTTGCCCCCTCCCCCTCCCGTTAGTGGCAAGCCCACAGGGGCTTGACACTTGCACCAGACGGCATGGCAACGCACACAGGCATGCCCTGGGCTGCGGAGGTTACCATTATTTTTCCGTGTATAAGACGTTGCACTTGTATACGACGCACCTGATTTTTGAACAGGGTGTTTGCAGGAAAAAATAGTGTCTTATACATGGAAAAATACAGTAATTTCTTTATAATGCATGGAGGATTTACAACTGTACTTCTAAAGTCACTCAAGATATTTAAACCTTCCAGATAACGTCACAATGAGTCTTATGATTCTCCATCCACTGGCTCAGCCCTGATTGTTTTTCCCATGCTGCTCCACTTCTTTTCTGTCTCTGCACTGTCTTAGCGTACTGCTATGCCATATTGTTGCTGCCCTGTTCCTATACTGGTAGCAGATTGGGCTTCTATTAGGCTGCAAACCTAAACACACTCATAAAGAAATGCAGCGGCCATCAGAGTAAATTCATACCAGATTATACCATGCAGGGGTTTAGATGCAATTTAAATAAAATCTCCACCTTTATAAACAGTAGCTTCTCATCTTTAAATTGTTAAAGTTAGATATGTACACCTTTACCTATTAGACAATTTTACAATGTAACATCCTTAAAGTATTTAAATTTTTCATACAATAAGATGAAATTTTTACAATACATGTTTATTTTATAGAGAATAAAAGCTTATAAAAGCATTTATCATTTATGTTCTAGACAAAACATATTAATGTCATGTAAATACATGCAGTCTAGATTTTTGAAGAGTCCTTCAAGTTCTGGAATGTTTGTTCTAATTTTGAGATGACTCCATTTGTATAATTGGGTGTGTGACAGAGAATGGATGTCCACTCAGACTTGTAATATCTATTTTTTTCAATCATAAAAGCAGGTAATAACCATGTCTACTTTCCGCTTACTAGTTTTCAAATGATATCAAAAGAAAACATCTAAAAGACAATCATGTCTTCCAGAACAAAATTCATGTGAAAAACTGTCAAATGTTTTATTATACATAATTTATACACACACACACACATAATACATACATACACATGCACATACCAAACTGTATTTCCTTCACTAGTTTTTTTTTTCACCCGCATTATTTGATGACTAACCAGTTTTTGCTTTTCACTGCATCAAATCCTGAGCTGAGTTGGTACAAAACAAATTAAATTATTTTTTCTATTACTATGAAGATTCCTGTGGCGTTACAAAGTATCTAGTCTATTACTTCTTACTTTCCCTTTTCTCCAATATGTCTCCTGCTTGTTCTTTTAACTAGTTAGACTGTGTATTCATTTCTCAATAGATGGCACCCTGCATTGTATAGTAAAGCATGTGAAACAGCTGGTATGAGATTCTAAGTTGATAGAGAATTATGCAGCTTAAAACAGACAGGCGAATAGAAGTTAAAGTGTCATACTGTTAAAAATATTAGGCTAAAATTTTTGTTTTTGAAAAATAAGCACATGCATTTTTAAATGCTGAATAGCCAGCACTGTACTATAATTCAGTGATAGCCAGGATGTCTTGATATCTTAAGTGTTTACATTTGGAAAGACAACTGGCGACAGAAAATAGTTCCAATATTTGTTAGTTGTATCCAGGAAGGAATGTAGAACATAAGGCCTTTGATTAAAATTATGTATCTTATCCAGAAACGTAGGCATAAGAAGCCAATGCTACTTTAGACTTCATTAAAGATACAGACACATATATTTGCTTAAATATTTTGTTACTTTTCTTATCCTTCAATTCTTGCATTCCTTTCAAATATAAAAACACTAATTTGTTTTTAACTGATCAACATCCCCGCTAAATTATAGGCAGGAAAAGAAGCTTAAATGCACGGTCCTTTTTAGCAACAGGAGAAAATGTGAAAGTTCAGTTTTGCTAAAAATAATAATGGCCCCAATTCCTTCAACATGCTAACATGGCTCTGGCAAGCTGGCATTAAAGTGAAGGCAGGGTCCTCCACTGACAAATAAAGTTGGCCTGATTTCAGAGTCTGATTTGAGATGTATTCAATGAGACTATAAGACTGTCCTCTCCTGATAAAAGTAGATAGATTCACTCTCTGAATCAACTGAAGATAGCTTGGGGGCACCTCATTATCTTGCCTGCAGAGTGAACGTAGACAGTATGAAAATGCATTTAAAATGTTTGGATCCTTGTATACAGGATTAACCTTGCTGACATCCTAATATTGCTGATTTACACACTTGATTCCCCCATCCTTTTTTTTTCTTCAGCAGACAAGAATTTCTGTCATGTATTTAGTACATGTGTTAACAAGTAAAGATGAGGAGGGGAAACTTAAATGCAGCGTAATTGGCAACCATAAGTCGTTAGAACTGTGGCTCTCAGTTGATGTAATAAATTTAGCTCTTCCTTGCAGACTAAATATAAAAACTTGAGTCTGCTTTCTTAATGTATTGCAGTTTCTTAAACACCTGGATTGAAAACTGTAATAATGAAAACAAGAATGTAGACTGAATTGAACAGTTAGGAATGTTGTGCATCCCTGTACCGTGGCTCATTTAGGGCTCTAGGTTCAGAATGGATTGCCTCTCATTTGGAGGAAAACAAATATAAAGGACATGCTGCACCTGTTAAACAAAGTACTTTAGCATACACTTAGATGTATACCATTTAGAAATATATATCCCAATACTTACACAAATACATTGTGTTTAGCTATCTATATGAGCCACTCAGTTTCTCTAACTAAAAGCTAGGTTAGCAAGGAGCATGCATAAAATAGGATACAGCAATTTAAACGCTCATTCGTGTGTGTTTTTTAAACCAATGGGCTGCAAGTTAAGATCCCATTTGTTTATCATTAATTCTCTTTGGATTCTTATTTTCAACTGAAATAAACACATTAAATAAAGTTTTTCCTTTTAACGTGAAGTGCTAGTAGTAGTTACTGAATTTTAATTGTATTTTTTAATATTTCAACTGTGAATGCATGTTGAAATTATGGAAATGAAAAAATGTATTTCATTACTCACATAAAAGGCAACTAATTAATTGCAATATTAAAACTATTGCAAATATTCATAACAATATAACATAAAAATTACACCATCAACTACGGTCCAAAATAAAACCTACCCAGATAGCTTAGTTTCTTCTACAGGGGACTGTTAATCCAAAGAAATGCTTTCTTGAGCAGTGTTGATTTCATTAGTTCTTAAGTGAAGTTGTTACGTTAAGGGGAGATTTTAAGAAAATTCTAGATATCTAGTCAAAAGTAAGATTGACTGTATTCAATCCTAAATAAATAAAACTGCATATTGAATCAAGTTGCAACACAAAACTCAACTGAAGGATTTATTATGATTTGTTAAACAAGCTTCAGTGACCTACTCTGTACAGAATTCTAAGACATAATGGGTGAATTCACACATCATACTTACCCAAAAACCAAACAAATCACATTATGGCTTAGTGTCAGGTGTTAACCAGGCCAGTAAATAAAAATTCTCAAGAGAAGAGCTGATGTGTACATGATCAAATATTACAAAAAAAGCATGAAATGCTTCCTGTTACAGTTATTAAAACTGCCAGTTTAAATGAAGGTGGAGTTGCAAATAAGTAATTAAAAGCACACTTCCATAGTGATACTTAAAACACGCATCAATGCTTAGACAGGTTTCCAAAGCAATTTACACCAACAAAAAAGTAGTGTTTGTTAGAACTTGATGTAATTATACCTAATTAGCTTGGAAGGATTGATGACTGACCACAGTACAAGATGTACAAGAGAAATCTGCAAAGGCCCTGTAACAAATCTTAAATATTGTTTGGACAAAGCATTAACTCCTAAGAGAAACAGTAGCTTCTTCTCTGTTCCCCATCCCTTTTAAATTAACTACTGTATTTCAAAATTCAATGACATGGATAGGAGTAGATATATACATATTTGTGTATATTGTAATCGAATATCAAAGAAAACATGTAGACTCAAATTACATGTTCTTACGTAGTAAAATAACACAAAGTACTTCTAGAAATATATCCTGGGCTTTGTGCCCTTGTTGTTATTGCATAATCACATTTTCAAAATACATATTATCTTGAAAAAGAAGTCTTGAAACACTGAATATTTGCTTACCAAAATTATTCTGGCTTGTCTGCCATAATCAATGAACTTTTTATTTAAGACTTTAATATTTATATATTTGGTTGTTTTAAAAGTATGAAATGCTGATGATCCGAATTCTTACATAATGTGAATACCAGTGCCTTATTTTACAGAAGTAAAATGTAATGTCTATATTTATCATGCTGGAACTTCTGACCAAATGTGCTTGTTAATGGTAATCAGTTCTAAAATTAAAAAGAAATATTTTACAATGCTTTAGGCCAGTATTTCTCAACCGTGGCATCTTTTAAAGTATGTTGATTGTATTAGAGAAAATCAAAGCTTATTCTTTAGTAAAATGCTAGATATTTAGGGAAACTAAACCATTGTCAGTGAGAACACAACCCTGATTGTGCACAAAGCATTCACTCCTTTCCCCCCCCCCCTGCTTCTTTCAGCCTCCGTGGAACTCTTACTCCTCACAAGACACTGACTTACTGGCACTTGCTTCTGAAGACTCGGAACCCAGGCAGTCAGGAATATGTGAATTCTGTCAGAAAGTGTTCCCACCATCTCTTACATCAAGGGAGGATTTTCTGAGGCATCTGAATTCTCATTTCAACTTGAAGTCTTAGCGTCATTGGAAAACAGACAAGTTTTATTTAATTTAATTGTAGGTACTGTCTTTGATTTTGATCCCAACAGATATACAAATTTCAGAATGTAAGGTGGCATTTATAACAATCTGTCGAATTTCATACCCAACATTAATATAATTAAAATCAGATACAAATCCCTAAAATAAATATCCCAAAACTCCTTTTAAATCAACATGTCTTGTGTTAAAACTGCAGTTGCAAAGGGATGCTGAATACTATGATCCAGTCTGAATGTAACAAAAATTGAGATAGTATTTTGTATATAGAATAGATAAGTGTGTATCATCCTTTGTATTTCTAAATAACATTTATTTATTAGTATACTTTTTTAACATTTGGCAGGCTAGTTAATGCAACATTGGAAGAGGTACATGGAAATAAGTGTTATCATGTTAATGCTTGCAAGTACACACTGACCCTTATATTAGACATTTAACTGTCTAATATAACATTATTAAAACGAACTTTTCTTATGTTGCCCCTTTTGTAATAAACCAATGACCCACATGTTTCACCTATTTATAATTGTTATATTAATATCAAAATAAACCATAAATGTATTTACATGTAAGTATGCATGGAACATGTATGCAGGTATGAATGTTTTATTCTGTAGCCCTATATCATTTTATTCCTAATCAAAAAAAGTTATTTAGAACAGAACTTGTAATGTTGTTGACTTGGTAACAGAAAGTGACAATCAGCTACTATTTAAATACAGCAAATACTCTTACCTCTACTACAGTGAGACTAGGACTTTCCATATTAAAAAAAACCCTGCTATTCAGAATCAGTATGGCATGATCAATTTGGGCTAAGATAATATGGTGTTTAGTTTCTTATTTCTAACCTTGAACAGAATCATGGACCTCCCATGAAGAAGGAAGAAGGCAATGACTGTGTTGCAACAGCCTTATCCTACAGCTAATGTCTTGCTATGTGTTTAACTAAAGCCATTGAAGGCAAGAGTCTGTCATCTGCAATTCAGTCTGTTGCATACGTGGAATTTATAACCAGTGTGCAATAACTTTTTCCCGATTGGACTGTAAATATCCAGCAGTTTGCTGACTTTGTTTAGACTGACAGATGAGACAAAGCAGAGTCAGACCTGGTTTGTACTTGGGTAAGGGAGGTATAGCTATATCTATGAAATTACTAGGAATCCAGACCAATTCCAGAGGCTTTTCTCTTTTTTTAACTAAATAGCACTCACATATTAAATATTTGGAAAAGACTTTAGTTTTTTGGTAGGTGAAATACAGGTTTTGCACACAGTATCACCAAGAACCAGTCCCCATCATTACCAGAGCTGGAGAACCATTACCACACAATGCAGACAATATTGAACAAAAGGGATCAAGTACAAGTTGTCCTCAACTTACAACCACAATTGAGCCCAAAATTTCTGTTGCAAAGCAAGACATTTGTTAAGTGAATTTTGTCCCATTTTACTACCTATTTTGCCACAGTTAAGTGAATCACTGTAGTTAAGTTAGTAAAATGCTTGCTAAGTGAATCTGTCTTCCCCATTGACTTTGATTTTTCAGGTTGCAAAAAGTGATCACATGACCCTGGGACACTGCAACCGTCATAAATATGAACCAGTTGTCAAGCATCTGCATTTTGATCACATGTCCATGGGGATGTTGCAACAATCGCAACGGTGAAAAATGGCAACTTTTTTCAGTGCCATTGTAACTTTGAACAGTCACTAAATGAATTGTTATAAGTCATGGACTATCTGTATCAGATTCTGTATAAGACCTCTTATATATAAGTACATAAATATAGTCAATTGTTCATGCTTATGAGAGGTGAACCAAAATTCCTTTCTCTAATTGATTCCTCCTGCTACATTGTTCATATTCAATTTCTAATAGTCTAGTCCAGTATTTGTTTTTTAATCTCAGCAACTTCAAAATGTATTGGTTGGGAAATTCTGGGAGCTGAAGTCCACATTTTAAAGCTCCTAAAATTGAGAAACACTGATCTAGTCAGTCCTCGGTTTACAAATTTCCTTGTAAACTGAGGACTGACTAGGCCAGTGATTCCAGCCTAGGTTATTTTCATCTTTCTCTAAGCTGACTGGTATTATAACTAATCTTAAAACCACAAACAAGAAAAAACAAGAAAAGAATTATATTAAGGCCTAATCTAATAATTGTGGGATATGGTAGATGAAGTTTGAAACCTCTAGATGTTGAACTACAACTTCCAAATGTTTCAGGCCAGATGAATTGGCAACATCTGAGATTCCCTACTTCTGAATTAAGAGGAAACTACTTCAGTAGTAAATCACCAAGACTTAAGGTCAAGTCCACAATCTCCAGTTTAAACAGATTAGTTTTTCCAGACTAAGTCATTTATATTGAGCTTATTAACAGTAATCCATTTTACCTACTACAGTGTCGTATTTTTCAGGAAGCTTTACGAAATGGATAAATGCAGTCTACTGAATTTTTATTCCAGATGTAAGAATAAAAAGTGCTTGGTTTTAATAAAGTGTTAACATATGCGATTGAAGGATTTTCTTTTACTTTTTCAAAATGTCTTGTGCAGTAGAAATGTGACATGTCCATTTTATAACTTGGGTGGGGGAGTAATGCCTTGCATGATTTGTTACTCATTTGGTTATGCAAACATCTTTTACAATTTTGGTTACAACCTCTAGGACTTCCTTGACAAGCTGTTAACTACCTTTGTACTAAAATAAGTATTCTACAGGTTTTATTTGTAATGTGCTCCAGAATATTTTTGGTTTTTCAAACTTTTTACAAATGTATATATGACAGGAACAAAGAGAGGCCTGCCTGCTTATGCTGCTGTGGAGGATGTATTTGGGAAAGAAAAGTCATGGCATGGCTTAAAAATAATGTCTGATCCTAAACTTATGGCTATGTAACAGGAATGTACATGTTTAATGTAATGTGTTTGTGTTCTCTAATCCTTCAATTTACAGAACGCTTCTGTGTTAACAAAAACAATCAAACTGGACAGCTGAAAAATGAGAGGGAGCTACTAGTTTGTTGAAAGGGACCTCTATAAATTGAGAGCAAACCCCATTCCCTACTTGCACTGATAATGTTACCTAGTTTGGGTAATGAAACCTCTGCAACCAAAACAACCAAAGCTTAGAGAACACCAAGGACCCCTCATTTCAACCCTGAGCTACATTGGCTTTTATCAAAAAGGACCTGTAGTTTGCACAAGTAAACACAAGGGATATATATCTAAAAAAAAAAGAAAAAGCTTCAGCACCCATTATACTGTATCTGATTTTGGGAATTACAGAAAGATAAGCAAACCATTACATTATAACCTAAGGTAGAGAGCTATGTGTTGCCGAATGTACTGCTAACATTATACAGCAAGAATAATTCACCTTTCTAGAAATAATTGCTTATCCAATCCATCAGATTTTATTTGTATAACTTTTTTATATGAAACAGAAAATACAAGAATCCAATCTACAGAATGAGTTACAGATTAAATACAAGGTTTTTTCCCTCCGTGATTTCTAACCAACCAAGATGAGTGATGGTACAGTACAGTACATAGGTAGTACAGTGCTACTTGATAACAACTTTGTTCCTTAAAGGGTGAAGAAATCCTGTCCCAGATTTCTAGAATTCTAGGCTAGAATACAGTTTATAGATAAGGCAGTCATCAATGATTTTCAGCCTTTGGAGCACTACAGACACAAAGTCAATGAGTATATTGTGTATTCACCTCTCGGTATCATAAGTGCAGACCATAGTCTGAAAGCAAAATTCTTCCAAGGCCTGTCTAACAGGATGCCACTGTATACCATGGTTTGACCATTGTAGAAAACAACTAGTAAGTAAAAACCCACATTGGAATTTGGGAGTATATGGCATATGTGGTTCTGCCCTGTCGGATTATGCTATGAATTTAACTAGGGGTGGGTAGGAAACAAGGAAGAATAAAAGTGTTCCTCCCCCAGCTTTGGGGGGGAGCAGCCATCACGTCTGTTACCCTCGCCAAAAGCACCTCAGGCGGTAAGATGGAATAAACGCGGCCTTAGCTCAGCAGAATGACTGGATTCAACAGAGGCCCGGTTTGTTTTCAGGTAGTGATGGAAGAAAACACAAGTTTGAGGAAAATGAGAAGTCCCTCCTATATTACCCCACCTCGGAAAAGGTGCTATTGCCATTCTTCCCCTCCCCGTACTGCATAATAATCTACTGAAGGGGGGGGGTCATTTTCACACTCCTGCAACCTCCCGAGGACCGTCTGGGTAGGCTGGGAGCCAGGAGGCGAGCGGGAGCAACTTCCAACAAAACGCAGCAACCAGAGGAAGGCGCCGAGGGGCGAGGAAGCTCGTCCCGGGCGCCACGTGCGGCTTTTGCCTTGGATTCCTTTCCTCCGTGCTCTCGCCTACGCACCGCCGCGCACCTTTCTTCCCTGGCTCTCCGGCTACCTCGCCAGCTGCTTCTTGCAATGTCGTTCCCGTAATTAGGCTGTCACTGCTCGTTAGAGGCGAGCGGGAAACGCTCTTGTGACAGATTCCACTAGTTCATCGAGGGGGTGCGATTTTCGAAGGGAAATTTAGTACATTAATTTGAGGTCTCAGCTCTGTCCTTTTCTGGAGGTTCCCTCCGTAGTTTGTTTATCGCCACACTCAGCTAGAGTTTCTTTCCCTTCGCCTTCCAGCCCGCCAAGAAGCGACAGATCTGAGCCAATCCACCACTGCAGGTTGGCCGGGCCGCGGGGCCTGCCTTGCAATGATCTGCCGTGAGCTAAAGGGGGCGTGCTAGAACTCCCACTCCCATCGGCCCGGGAATGCTCGCGAGGGGGAAGCCGGCGATCGACAGAAGCGCTTCCTTTCGCCCGCGGCGGAGCTCAAGTGTCCTTCCTACTTACTAACCCACCTATTTCTCGTAAGCTTTGGTAGACTCGCATTCTCCCCCTCCCCAGTCTTCCTCCCTTTTCAATTCATGCAAGGTTAACTCAACAGAGAAGACTCAATCCAAATGGCAACTGGCATTGCA